CTTAACCTCTGAGCCATCTCTCCAGGCCCCTGTATTCTTTCTTTCTTAAGCATACCCACGTTATGAAACACACTGAAAACTGGTTAGAGGTTTCTCTGTTTGGACCTCTTTTTACTGTATATCTATTTAGTCTTTTTTGTTTGTAGGAGCAACAGCTAAATTCACCACACAGGACACAGCTGCTTAGCCTCTCTGTACCTAGGCCTGTGTGAGACTGTGTGAGCCCACAGTGTAGCTTAGCTCATGGTGGCTGGTGGCAAGCTGCACTCTGCAGGTAGCTCTTGTGAGACACATCTCTGCACTGCGGGCATGCGACTGTGAGACTCAGAAGCCCAGTGCAGCTCTGTTTCTGTGTGTTCTGAACCTTTTTTTAAGCTTTCTCAGGACTTACGTGGATACACTACCCACTTGGTTGCCATTTGTAAAGGGGGGGTTTCTCTCCCACCCACCAGTTCCCAAATAACCACTCAGAGGCTTAATATAAATTATAAATGTTTGGCTGATGTCTCAGCGTTACTACTAGCAATCTCTTACATTTAAACTGACCAATTTCTATTAATCTAAATATTGATTGTCATGTGGCCATAACATTACCAGAAGCATATAACAGAGTGTGGATTCAGTTGTCCATTATAGTATTTTTATGATGGCTACTATAAAAATCTCTATTAAAGTTGGAAGCTGAACCAAATCTGTAAATCACTATTCTCAGGTTGGGCATGGAGGATCAGATTATATGTTCAAGGCCAGCCTTGGCTAGATAGTAATATGTAAAACCCTGTGAAAAAATAAATGGTAGAAAATTACAAAATCTTATCAATTCCATCATATCTTGGATTGTTGTCCATGGGAGATTTGATGGTTCTTGTGAGTTATTATCAAACGAGACATGGACATTATGGGTGTCATATAGATTTTGGATTTATTTAAACCTGTGATACAGATAACCAGCGCCTTTTTGTGGGTTTGTCTTTTTTTAAACCCTGATTCATCTACCTTAAGTTGAAAGTCTTGAGTTCCATTTTCTGCTACAAAATATTCAGGGCTACTCAGTAGGAGAAGGGTAGAGCTAGGGACAATTCTATTCTATCCCTATCACCGAATAACTACTTTTCTGATGCCATAGCTCACCCAAACAGTGAAGTATTCCTGCAGGTTTAATTTCTTCAGAGCAAGACACTTGTGCCCTATGAATAGATGCCTAGGTTTCCATTTCACAGACTTGTGGTGGGGGCGGGGGGCGGGGGGGAGGCTTCCTCTGATGAAGAAGGGAATCCTGGGGAACTCTTGTCTCTCTCAGCTGGGGATGTGAGCATTTATGAGATCCCTTCCACCTCTCTGGATATGCCTGCTGTTCCAATCCTAGGAAGCTTAAGCACCAGGTAAGAACATAAGACCTTAAAAAACACTCACATTGGCCCCACCCTCTCTGTTGCTTATATGAGCCCCTAGGGAGAGCCTGGGGTAGGCTGACCCTAGCTTTTCTCAGCCAATCCAATCGTCAGTCATTGATTGAATCCCTCCTGTGTACAAGGCCTTCTGGTAAATGTTAGGGGGGAACAGTTGTAAAACAATCATATCCTACTTTTCAGAAGCCGACCTGTGGTTGTAGTGCATGTCTTTAATTCAGCACTCGGAAGACATAGATGGTTCTTGTGAGTTCCAGGCCAGCCTGTTCTACATAGAGAAAAGCTGTCCCAAAAAACAGATCCACATCTCCCCAGCCAGCATGAGAAGCACCCGGATTTTCACACAGAGGTAAAATCAGAGCTAGGGCAGAGGAATTGTGGGAGCTTGTGGTAGTAGTGGGGTAGAATGGAGGGCGTGGTGATGTTTTTTGTGATCTAACAAATAAAGCTTTCCTGAAGATCAGATGGCAGCTAGCCACACTAGGTGGCCATAGAGGTGAGAGAGTAGTAGCAAACACCTTTAATCCCAGCACTCAGTAGACAGAGGCAGAAAGATTTCTGTGAGTTCAGGACCATCCTGGGCTACAAGAGATCCAATCAGTCTAAAAGAGAAACAGAGCTAATACCTTTGATCCCAGCACCTGGGATCACACACATTAAAAAAATTGCATATTTACTTATTTATGATACATTGGGATTTTCTTACTTGTATGTCTGCATGGAAGTGTGACATGCCCCAGAACTGAAGTTACACAGCTGCAAAATGCCATGTGTTATTGGGAACTGAATCCAGGTCCGTTGGAAGAGCAGTCAGTACTCTTAACTAATGAACAATCCCTCCAGCCCAGGATCACAAGCCTTTAATCCCAGCACTAGGGGCTGGGCAGAGAACACAAGGTGGGAGGAGACAGGAGCTCAGGGCATTCAGTCTGAGGTTTCATTGGGACAGCAGTCAGTCTGAGGAGTCCTAGGAACAGGAACAGCCCTTTGTTCTGAGGATTTGTTAAAGGTGAGAACTAGAGCCTGGCTACCCTGCACTCTGATTCAGGCAGGCTTTCTTTCTTACATCACAAACAAAATATCACCACAGAAGGGCACAGCAGGAAGCAGTTTGTCTTACAGGGCCATTGGTACCGAATCCAAGGGGATCACAGGAATGGACATGGAGAGGTAGGTGAGAAAAAGACTGGAAATAATGGACTGTGAGGATGAGGATGAGGCTGGATGGAGGGAGGGTGACTGAGGTCGTGGACCAGCAGGACAGACAGGAGCCAGCTGAGACCATGTCTGTTCAAGGATCTGGTTGAACCCAGGCAGTTTTGAGGTCAAAGGTACAGGAGATGCCAACCCAGAAGTCAGGCAGGCTGGAGTGTCTGTGCTCCTACATAATTCAGTAAAGATCCATTTCCACGGGTAATGAAAGCATTTCCTCAACTCATAGGTACCACTGCTTGTACTGTATAGAAAAGGTGTCATGGAATGGGGGTGTAGACAGTGTTAGTGTGTGTGCCTGGCATGCATAAAACAATCAAACTTGTAACCCAAGTATTGAGGGAGGGAGGCAGAAGGCTCAGTTCACAGTCATTCTCGGCTACATAGCACGTCCCAACCCTGCCTCAAAGAACAAATAGAATAGCAAAGTTAGCATTGTCCCAGCTCCTACCTTCCCCAGAGTCAGCTCACTCAGAAAAGTCCAAGCTCAAGTCCTGTGGGCCCATTACTTCCAGTCTCAACGTTCTCTACACGGCGGCTCCGCCCAGCCTCCACTTACCTCCTGCAGCCTGTGGTCCTCTTTCCACAGGTGTGTCCTGTCACGCCAGTGGGGAACTCACCACACTGATTGCCCTCAGTGTCCAGATCTGTGGGTCACTGGTTAGGACAGTGAGCTGCTCTGTGCCTGGGATCACCTCCCGTTCCTCCAGAGGTTGACCTGGAAAATTTCAAAAGTGCAAGAGGTGCAGATTTCTTCTTTTACTGAAAGATTCAATGCTTGCATGTGCTCATTTGGGGAGTGTTTTGTGGTTGGGTTCCTATAGTTTTGTTTCAGGGTGGGTTTGTCTGGGCTGAGTCTCAAAGTGTATCCCAGGCTGGCCGCCAGTCCCCATCTGCCTTTTCCAGCATTCTGAGTGTACCGTGTCCAAAGCCTGACTCTGGGTTTTTCATTTTTTTCTGGACTGAAACTGTTAAGAACGTTTCCTTCCCTGGAGGCAGTTTCCACAGACCCCTCCATTACAATACACTCATTTATTCATTCAATTATCAAACGTTGTTAGTGCCTGGCACTGTTGAGGGACTGCAGACACAGTGGGGACACAGGTGACATGAAACACTGTGAAACGCACTCGGCCAACTTCTGTGGGATGCAGAGGGGGACCTTCAGGATGCTTTGATCGCCATGGGGCCACTGGGTACTTGTTTAACACCTAGTACCATGGGGCCCGCCCAGGGATTGGTCCTGCGGCCTACGTGTCCTGCTCTCTCCAACACAGCCCTACCAGATCACCCACCTTCCCAGCTCAGTCTGAGCCAGGAGGAGGCAGTGGCAGAATCCCTGTGGATCTCCCAGGCCAGAGACCAAAGGCAGGCGGGGCTTAGGTGGGGCGGGACCAATGTGTTGGGCGGTGGCTATAGGTGGTGCTTCTGGGGGCTGAACTGTGACCAGGAAGGGCCTTTTTAGGATGACACTTGCAGGGCTGGGACAGACCTGGAAGAAAAGTCAGTGAGCAGAGATCTAGTTTCTGAGTCCTTCCCTTTCCTACGACCTTCTGGACGAGGAGTGCCAGCCACACGGTCACAGCAATGGGTAAAACTACCCCTGATGATCTCTTCCATCAGAGTGGGAAGGGGGAGTCCCAGCGAAATCCCCCCATGAACCCACTCACTCCCTCCGCACTGCCTGTCCAGGCCCCATCATCAGCACCAGGGTGCAGCAGAGTCAGACTGTGGGATGGTAATAAGCCACATGGCTGCTGTGTTTGGATAAGCCCTTAGATTGGAGGACAGTGTCTATTGCTATTCGGGGTTGCACTTTGGGGCCAGCAGCATGAGAAGGTCAGCTCTGGGACACACCGGACCTGAGTAGGCCTAGCGGGACTCCAGGAATCATGCTGTCTGCCTTAAATCCTCTCTGATAACTATGACCATCTTCTATGTCTCCTTGTTTCCCAGTCACGATGTTGGCAATTGACGTGTGTGTGTGTGTGTGTGTGTGTGTGTGTGTGTGTGTGTACATATATACATATAGATGAAAAAGCATAGATAGCATTCATTGTATGGGGTTCATTGATGTTTGAAGTTTCAGGCACCCATGGGGGTTCTTAGAAAGGGTCTCCTAGGTAAGAGCAGTGTAATCTGTTTACCCCAGTTTAACAGAAAAGGACTGAGGATGGAGAGGTCTGAAGGAACCAGTCCAAAGTCACACAGCCCCAAGTGGCAGCGTTCAAGCCAGCACCCACCAACCCAGTGCTTCCTGTTCTGTTCCAACACCAATAGTTCCTTCCAAAAAGCCTACTCAGCTCTCACTCACCCAGGGAACCTGGTTGCTTTTCCCTCCTCAGGGTATCTGGCAGTCTGTCTGTCCAGAGCCAGGACATAGGCCAGTAGCACCAACGCCCATGCATGCTGGAGCATACACTGGTGAGGGTGAGGAAGGGCTGGGTCCATGGATGCAGGGGACAAATGACTGGTTCTGCCTCACAGGTCTGTTCTCAGAGTTGAAGCTGGCTGTGCCTTGGGGCCACATTGCTGTCAAAGTCTGGGGCTCCCAGAAGAACCCTCCAGTTCTCTGCCTGCATGGCTGGCTGGACAATGCCAACTCCTTTGACAGGCTCATTCCTCTTCTTCCACAAGGTGGGGCTATGGGTTGAGGGACAGGGAGGGGTGGAAGCTGCCATGCAGACCCCTCCTCTTCCTCTCTCTCTGCAGATTTTCATTATGTGGCCATGGATTTCGGGGGACATGGACTCTCCTCCCATTACAAGCCAGGTCTCCTGTATAACCACCAAAATTTTGTGAGTGAGGTCCGAAGGGTGGCAGCAGGTGAGCGAGAGCCCCTGAGTGCCATGAGGCGTCGTGTGTGTTGGGGGATGCTCTGCCACACCCTCTCATCCTAGCAGGTGGGATGCAGAGTCTGCAGACAGCGGGGGTTGGGAATTGATGCCTGGGGTCTGGCTCCAGTTCTCCCAGCCCCTGAGCAGAGCTTGTGTCCTCCACTAGGAGCTTCCCACAGTGGAACTGAGGCCCCTCAGCTGGTCTCCTGGGTGGGGTGCTACAGGTGCTTGGAGGGAGTTCCAAGCCAGGACACAGGAAGAAGTTTAGAGTAAGGCTGGACCATGCAAACCTTCTGTTTGAATTTGTGTTTTCAGCATTTAAATGGACTCGGTTCTCCTTCATGGGCCACAGTTTTGGTGAGTCAGCTTTACACTGACCCTGAGTTCTGTGGAGGGATATAGGACAGGGGGAAAACTTGACACCTGGTACCTGGTACCTTTCCCTGGCCCTCTGAGAAGGAAGAAGTCCTCAACCGCTTACCTTAGGGACTGTGCCTCTGGTCTCAGGGGGGGTGTGGACTGTCCTTGTAAGTGTTTTCAGATGGAGGGACCTTGGTGACCCAGGGAGAAGCACGAGCTGAAGATGCAGAGTCCCAAGCCCATGTGGGAGAGGAGCTGGGGACGGGACAGCCCATAAGAAAGGACTGGGGAGGATGGGGAGCTGGAGAGGTCACTTAGATGTCAGCACTGTCTCTGTTCTGGCAGGTGGCACTGTGGGCGGCATGGTGAGTAGCTGGCTGTTCTGGGGTGGCCTGGGACCTTTCTGGGCGTGGGTGTGGGTAGACCAGTGTGAGTAGGACAGGAAGAGCCCCTTCACACAGTGGATGCGGAAGCTAGCCAGCACCTCCTTAGCCACAGGCAACTTCACATGTGCACTGTGTCCTGGGGACGGTTCCGTGTAGTTTCCCCATGTCTCATGTAGGGTTACTGCGGTCTGCAGCGGGGTCTGGGAGAAGCACACTGAAGGGACAGCAGACTCAGCTCTGGGGAAGCCTGTGTCTCCACCCACTCACTTGTTCCTCTGTTGTCACTTTCTAGTTCTCCTGCATCTTCCCCGAGATGGTGGACAAACTTATCTTGCTGGATTCGATGCCATGTGTTCTGGATTGTAATGTAGGAAACGACTTCAAAGAGGCTGTCATGGGGACCCCAGACTTTGGGGGTTATCTTCAGCTCTGTCTCCTGTGGACTTTAAGGAGGCAGGAGAGTGTGGCAGAGGGGGATAATTAACCAGGGGTCTCCCCCAGAGAGGGCAGTATCCTGAGGCTTGTGACCCTAAGATTCTCAGGGACAGGGGATGGGAACTGTTTGGAAGGCCCACTCTGTGGTCTGGATTCTGCAGAATGCTGGTGGATCCAGCATAGACTGTGAAACAGCAGAGGTGGATGAAGGGGGCAGATGTGGGTGGAGGGAGTTCAGGGCCACAGGAAGCTCCCTGCCCTGACACCTAAGCAATGCCTTTGAGCTGTGCACACAGAACACAATCCTATATATTGACTGTGCGTGTGACTGATAGAAAAATACCACCACCAGCATTGACAACATCCAGTACTGTCCCTGTATCTGAGACTAGGCTCTGCCCTTTCCCTACTGTGTGACTAAGGAAGTTAGTTTGTTCCAGAGGACTCCACTGTGTCAATTTCCATCTTCTCATTTACAGCATGGCCAAACCCTCCTGGAGGACAAGAACTCATTCTTTCTTTTTTGAGACAGGAACTCATTCTGTAATCGAGTGGCCATGAACTTCTAGTAATCTCCCTGCTCCAACCTCCTAATTTTTTGTTTGTTCTGTGCTAAGTTTTTGAGACTGGTTTTTTTCATTGTAGCCTTGTTTTTCTTGAAGCTAGCTCTATAGACCAGACCTGCCTTGAAAACATAGAGATCCTCCTGCCTCTGCCTCCCAAGTTCTGGGATTAAAGGTGTGCTAGCACTGACTGGCTGGAAAATCGTTTTTATCCCAATGTCCGGTCCCTGCACATTGTGAGCACTCAGTAATTTTCCATTGCATGAACCATTGACTAACGTGTTAGTGTGGAACCCAATACCCAGACCATGGTAATCTTTGCCTTTTGTTGTCTGCAATGTCCACTGATGCAACAAGTATAGAACCTTGGGACATCCTCTGCTGTGGTACTGCGTGGCAGTGAGTCCCCAAAGGCCTGAACTTGCCACTGGGGACATGAGGTATGGCAGATGGAATTTCAAACCCATCCACACGGCCTGCCTGTTCCCACTTCTTGTCATTCACAATGCTAGCCTTGACTGAAGTCAGTGAAATAGCCTGCCCTCAGTGGAAACCCAGTGTCACACTCTACAAAGCACTAGGCAGCTAACAGAGAGGCCGCCTCCCCCATCACCTGGTCCCTCTAGCTGTCAGGCAAGCCTGTGCTGCATGGGAGAGGATGACTAGCATGGGCTGTTCCCCCTCAGAGGGGCACCGAGGGCAGTGGGCAGGACCCGGGAAGGGGCTGGGACTCCTCTCTGGGGCATTCCTATTCACCAGCTCTGGCTGATCCTTAGGAAACAGATAACATCGTGACCTACAAACGGAGGAACATAGAGCACATGTTTCAGGGGGAAGCTTCCCAGGATTCCTTGAGGGTGTCCAGCATGGAGGAGATGATGCAGAGGTGAGTGCTGGCAGCAAGGGCAGGAGCGAGGAGGGCTGGGACTGGTTGCCCTGGATGGACACCCTCCAAGTCAGGGGATGTACAGCCTCTTCCTCCTGCTGCTGCTGCTTCCTTCCCCTCCTCTCAATGTCAGGGCCCCACCCCTCCCCCAGGTGTCCTTCCCCCTGGTGTGGCCTCCAGGGCACTCTCAGAAGCCCCTCCATGCCACCACCCCCTTTACTCATGCTTTAGAGGGGGTGACTCTTTCTTTTCCCGAAGTTCATGCTATATTGGCTCACCTCAGCCCTCTTGTTCTACCAACCTTAGGCTGCTTACCAATTAGCTGCGGTTTTCTCCATCCTCATTCTCGACCTGTCTGTGGCTTCCACCACACAGCAACCACACTGCCCTGAGTCATTGTCGGCCTCTAAATTCCCCACCCATGGCCCAGATGGAAAGCCCTGCTCACATTTGTATTCACTGCATCTGGCAGTGTGCACGGTAGCACAGGGCTTCACTCTTGTTGTTGCTGTCCAGAGGAGTGGACACGCACACACACACACACACACACACACACACACACACACACACACACACACACACACTATCAGGCAGACACGCTGATGCTACAAACACCCCTCAGGTTCAGAAAGACATACACAGAGTTCATGGGAAGTCTCCCTTCCCTCCATCTCCCCTTCCTCCTCCTCCTTTCCTTCCTGGAGTCTGAACCTAAGCCTCAAGCTCTTTACCCCTGAACCACATCCCCAGTCCATCTTGTTGCTGTTTGTTCATTTTCCAGGGATTTACTATCATTCATGCTGGCCTTGAACTCATAATGTAGCCACGACTGGCCTTGAATTCAATTCCATCTGCCTCAGCCTCCTTAGCCCTGGAATTAAGCACACCATATCCAGCTGCCTGATTTCCCTTGTGTCCAACCTCTGGGCTTGATCAAGGCATGGTTCCTTCCACGTCTTTCTGTCTCCCAGGCTCCTGAATAAAAATAGCCACTTGAATAAAGAGTGTGGGGAACTCCTGCTGCAGAGAGGAACCAGGAAGATGGCCACGGGTAAGGACTCACCGCTGTTATTACTGAGGGATGACCTGGGGGCTTGCAAGTGACAAGTGATACTGTGTGGCTGAAGCGTTTCCCTGACCCTTCCGTTGCCTCACACACAGCCCTGAGAGAGCAGGGGAAACTGAGGCTGCAAATAACCATTGCAGAAAACCACACTGTGAGGAGGTTGGCAGGCACTGGCACGAAGGTTGGTGGCTGCCATGGCCACGCCCTGCTGGGCCTGTGGGGAGGAGGTGCTGTGGCTCTGGCAGCCTCTCACACGATAGTCTCTTCTGGATTTCTTCTTCCACGTTTCGTCAAGAGCTTCTCTAAGGTTCTGAGAGCTGCTGCGTTCTCCATCAAGACAGTGAGTGAGGCTTGAGCCACACGGTCCCAGTCTCAATGAAGCTGCAGTCTGTAGAGGTGGCCCAAGCCCAGAGGGCAGCGTTTACAAATGCCCTTGGTGGAAATGACAGCTCCTAGGCCTGGGCAGAAGGAGACTGAGCAGAAAAAGTGAATTTTAGAAGGAAAACAGATGATAAAAAAGTTTCAGACACTTGTCTGTTTCTGAAGCAGAGAGAGTGTGACAGCTTGGAGGAGCAGGGGTTGGTTTTGGCTCTCAGTCAGAGGGGACTGTCCATCATGACTGGATGTATATTGGAGCAGGAGCAGGGGGCAGCTGGTCATATTGTGAGCACAGCGAGGAAGCAGAAAGAGATTAATGCTGGTTTTCAGCTCCTGGAACGAAGGCCACAGGATAGTGTTGCCCAGAGTCAGGATAGACCTCCCCACATCAGACTAATCTAGAAACTTCCTCAGGGACATGGGCAAGGATTGTTTCCATGATGATTGTAAAGCCTGTCAAGCTCACATTAACCACACTCACAAGGAAACAATGAATGAATGTGAGTGCCCTGGGGAGGGGCTTGGAGACTCTCTCAGGTGAGGTGAAAGCTTGTGTGAGGCGGTGTGATGGGACAGGAAAGGCCCCAAAGGGGAACAAAACCCAGGGTTCAGTTCCTGTTGGTGCCAGCTGCGTCACAATGGGACTCCCCCAGAGTTAGGAAACAGACAAGGTCGGTAGATTTTTGCTCTCACAGGCTGTCAGGATCAATTGAGGTTCAGAAAATTAATTTCTGCAGAAACAAAAGAAGTAGGTCTCCCTCCACCTACCCAGCGCATGTGGGTTGGACAAGTTGGGAAATCCTGTTGAGCAAGAGGAAGATACTAGAGAGTGCTGTGCACTGGAGCCAACAGACCCCCTGGCTGAGACAGCTGGTCATGTGGGAGCCCCTGTCCTGTGTGAACGGAATTCCAAGTGCTGAAAGAGGCCTCCTGGGCTGCACGTTGTGTTCAGGTGCAGACTACATTTCTGGTTTATTTGGTTTTAGTCCTGAGCCTGTCTCCCCTCCCTGCAAACCCTTATGAAGACTGAGAGCCTAGGCTTTTGTGCCCCACAAAGACGGCCAACCCAGGGGTTCCCTGTACAGAAGAGGGCTAATCCAAGGGAGGCTTTATCCCAGCCAGACCAGGGAGTCTGACTGGGCCCCTTGTTGCCTGAAATGTGGGCCCAGATGCTGAATGGTCTCTAAGGAGGCAGTGGGCATTGCTGAGAAGGTGAGCCCTTTGCTGGGGAGCAGGCAAGGGGTGGGAGCACTGCTGTGGGAGCACCCCTCTGTGGCAGAATAAGCTCAGGAGAAGGTAGATTCAGATCCTGCAGGCTCTCCGGACACAGTGTTAGGAAAGCACTGTTCTGGGCCTCTAGCCCCAACTGTCCCTCTCCCTCTGTCTGTCTGTCTGTCTGTCTGTCTGTCTGTCTGTCTCTCTCTCTCTCTCTCTCTTTCTCTCTCTCTCGATTATGATCTGGTTCATGTAGGTGAGGAAGAGGTTGTAGGCATCACTTCTGACCAAAGGGAGTTCCCAACAGAGGCAGGACATTAAGCTAAAGCTGATTTAACCAGGCAGGTGTAACATGACCCAGAGAGAGCCATTAGTCACACAGCCTTACACAGGATTCCAACCCATAGCCCATGCCTGCTTCAAGCCAGGTGTGGTAGCATGCCAGTCCGAAACCCTAGCACTTGGGAGGCTGAGGTTGAAAGATAGTGCTGTTGGGCAAGCCTAGGGTACAGAGTAAGACCTTGACTGAAACACCCAACAAAAGCATCACATATTACAGCTGAAGGTGTTCTGCAAAGAGGGAGAGCCCAGCTGTGTCAGGACAAACCCCTAAGGACACAGGGACAGGCCACACCACTGCCTGGCCAGGCAATCCCTGCCCTCCCCCCATGATGAAATTTCTGTCATAAACTCTGCAGCATTCAGTCAGAAGCAGAGCTGTCTGGCTTGAGCAGTTTCACAGAAACACTTGGCAGGGGAGCCGAGTCAGCTGCCTATGTGTGAAAGAGAAAGGCTTTGTGGAAAGCAGTGCTTTTTTCTAGCTGCCTTGAGAAATGGCAGGGACCTAAAGACACAGACATCCCTGTCTGTGAGCATAGAGACTAACAACACACTCATCCCTGTCTGTGAGCATGGAGACTAACAGCAGGGTCATCCCTGTCTGTGAGCATGGAGACTAACAACACACTCATCCCTGTCCATGAGCATGGAGACTAACAACACACTCATCCCTGTCCATGAGCATGGAGACTAACAGCACACTCATCCCTGTCTGTGAGCATGGAGACTAACAGCACACTCATCCCTGTCTGTGAGCATGGAGACTAACAGCACACTCATCCCTGTCTGTGAGATGTGGAGACTAACAGCACACTCATCCCTGTCTGTGAGCATGGAGACTAACAGCACACTCATCCCTGTCTGTGAGCATGGAGACTAACAGCACACTCATCCCTGTCTGTGAGCATGGAGACTAACAGCACACTCATCCCTGTCTGTGAGCATGGAGACTAACAGCACACTCATCCCTGTCTGTGAGCATGGAGACTAACAGCACACTCATCCCTGTCTGTGAGCATGGAGACTAACAGCACACTCATCCCTGTCTGTGAGCATGGAGACTAACAGCACACTCATCCCTGTCTGTGAGCATGGAGACTAACAGCAGGGTCATCCCTGTCTGTGAGCATGGAGACTAACAGCACACTCATCCCTGTCTGTGAGATGTGGAGACTAACAACACACTCATCCCTGTCTGTGAGCATGGAGACTAACAACACACTCATCCCTGTCTGTGAGCATGTGAGACTAACAGCACACTCATCCCTGTCTGTGAGCATGGAGACTAACAGCACACTCATCCCTGTCTGTGAGCATGGAGACTAACAACACACTTATCCCTGTCTGTGAGCATGGAGACCAACAGCACACTCATCCCTGTCTGTGAGACTCCAAGGACCATGTTTGGGGTCAGTTGGCCTCTCTGCGAGTCTCTGATCTGTATGTGACTTTGGTGAGTCCCAGAGCAGACAGGAAGCCGGCAGTGGGAAGATTTGTGAATTATCTCTGCACCTCAGATGGCTGAGCCTCCTAGGTAGGAAGAAAGCAGGAAGTAGCCATATCCAGGCAGAGCAGCAGCTGGCCTTCTCTCTCAGGGGTTGCCCTTGACTGTTCAAGAATCAAGGTCTGTTTGATTTTTGCCTTGTTTTCAATAACATTTTCCATTTTATGTGTGTGTGTGTGTGTGTGTGTGTGTGTGTGTGTGTCCTGTCTTAACCCTTCCCAGATACAGGACCAGCCCAGTCATCATTTTAGCTTATTTTTTCTCTTTTTTTAATGATTTATTTTTATTTTGTGTGCATTAGTGTTTTGCCTGCATGTGTATCTGTTGGAACTCTTACAAATGGAGGAATAGACAGCTGTGAGCTGCCACATGAGAGCTGGGAATTGAACCCAGGGCATCTGGAAGTGCAGTCATTGCTCTTAACTACTGAACCAACCCCACGTCCCCCCACTCACCCCACACTCCCACACCCCCCACCCCCACTTTAGGCTGTTTTTCACCTTTGTCTTCACTCTGTTGCTTTTTGAGACATGGTGGAACCTGTATCAAAAATAATAAGTAATTAACTAGCTCTATAAAAACTAAAACCACTGCGAAATGGTGGCATACTCCATTAATCCCAGCACTCGGGAGCCAGAGGCAGTCTGGTCTCTGTGAGTTCAAGGCCAGCCTGGTCTACAAAGTAAATTACAGGATACGCATGACTGTTACATACAGAAACTTTTATTCAAAAAACGAAGGGAAGGAAGAGAGGAAGGAAGGAAGGAAAGAAGGGAGGGAGGGAGGGAGGGAGGAAGGAAGGAAGGAAGGAAGGAAGGAAGGAAGGAAGGAACAGAGGAAAGGAGATTTATTTGAGGTCTGCGGAGGTCGGAAGCCTCAGACTGCAGTGTGAGCATCTACCCCTTCCATGTCCAGTCCTTGGCTTTGTCTCATTTTAACAATTTCCCTGTGTTGCAGACACGGAGCTGGGACCTCTGCCCTCTAGCTGTCACTTCTCTCTAGACTTGTCTTGGAGTGGTTTCTGTCCTTGAGTGCAGAATTGTGGAATTGCAACTGGACACGTGTCTTTTATGGATTCTGGAATTGGAATCATCTCCTTGTTTGATTCTAAGACTCCTCAAGGCTTCTATTTGCATTTACGTGTTTAACACACTGGGGACTTAGACCATCTGCAGAAGGTGTGCAGGTCTGACTTCACCTTTCCTTTGGTGGCTGTGCACTTTTCTTTGGTAGCTGGGAAAAGGGAGTTGAGCAGACTTGCAGACAGGTCTCTCCCTACCCTGACACCTGCAGTCCTTGCCATTTCCCTTGTTGGAGCAGGTCCCCAGAGCTGGCTTTTCCATTCCCTGCCAGCACCTGGAAACTTCCAAGGCTTGGAAGTTCCGTGTAACAGCAGAGGCTGACCTGCCCTCCCCCACACACTCCTGCACACAGTTCTCCTGGAATCATAGATGCTGTTGAGGGGAAGGTGAGGCTAAACCTTTGTAGATAAGTTGAGTTATACATCAACCATGGCAGGGACCTAGTCTGACAAGGATACCAAGGATCTCAATTACTCTCATTTTTCTAGTGTTTAAACCAAATGAACAGTTTCTTTCTCTGAGGTGAGAGTTGGAGCCTAGAGTAGAGGCACACACCTTTAGTCCCAGCACTTGGAGGCAGAGGCAGGCAGATCTCTGTGAGTTGAGGCCAGCCGGATCTACTGAGCGAGTTCTAGGCCATCAAGGGTCACAAAGTGAGATCCTGTCTAAAAACACGAGAGGGAGGGATGAGAGAGCCTGACTGTCTCCTTCATCGTCCTTCCCTGTCCCTTGGGGTCTGAGGAGACGCCCATGTGCTGTGGTCAGACAGCCTTGACCAAGCTCTGCTCTAGAAGAATTCCAGGACGGAAGTGCAAGGCTTCTTCATGACAGGGTGGCTTTCACCAACCCAGATGAAGACATGAGCCCTGGGTGAAAAGACCGGGACTTCCCCAGGAAGCCAGGTGAGTCCCTTCCTGTAACAGGTGACACTGAAACCACCATGCTTTGTGCTTTCCCCAGGTGTGGTGTCCAACAGGGACCGGAGGCTGTCTGTGGTAAGTGCCACTGTCTTCCAGCTTCCTTCATAGATTTTCTGTGGTCTGTTTTTGAAAATGCTTTTAAAAATATATGCATAGCTTAGTATAGACACAGAAGATATATTCCCCATTTTAGATGCCTGTAAGTACACTGCTGGGTAGTATTAAGTGTATTGTTTTGTAACCATCATCAACAGCCATAGCCCAACCTCTGTCATCCTCAGTAAACACTGAACCTGTTAAAACACTAAGTCCTCACTTGTCTCTCCAGCAAACTCTAATTTACTTTACTGTCCCTGTGAAGTTGACTGTTTGATTTTCCTTTCATGAAATACCTATGTTTGTCCTCTGAGTTTGGATTCTTCTCCCCAGGATCATGCTTTCCAGAACCTTCCATGTGAAACACATGTCCATGTTTATACCTTTGTGAGACCAAAAACTAGCTGTTCCATACTGGGGACTGTAATCCCAGCACGTGGAGACAGAGGCACGCAAATCTTCATGAGGTTTTTTTCTTTAAACATCTTTTTGACATTTGTTTTTTAATGTATATAATTTTTATTTGTGTGAGTGCACATGTGTTTGTGTGTGCATGTGTGTGTGTGTGCCTGCATGTGTATGTGTGCCCGAGCATGTATGTAATGTCAGGGGGACGCTTGTGTGGGAGTCAGGACAACTCGTGGGAGTCTCTCCTTCCTCCACATGACTGCGATGGTCAAGCTCAGTCATTTACAGCATGCGTTTATACACAGCCATCTTGCTAGCCCACACCACATTTTCCATGTCTAGCCCTCTGCCCATAGACATTGGGATTCGTGTTTTGGCAATTCAGATCAGTGTTGCTGTAACACGAGTACAAGTGTCTGAGTCCTTGCTTCCAGATCTTGGATATGGCACAAGAGACTTGCTGGAGCCCAGGGTAACTTGTGACTGATCTTTAGAAGGTGCTAAACTGTTGTCTCCAGAGGCTCCTCTGTTTCATCTTCCCACCAACGGTGCACAAAGGTTCTGGTGTCATCCCCAATCTGTCTCTCTCACACACACGGGGAAGGCGGGTGCCGGCCACTGAACCTGAGACTTGTGCACCCTAGGCAAGTGTTATTCCAACGGCTACGTCCCCAGATCCCTTTTATGACTTTGACCATGTGTGCATGCATTGACATACTTTCCCCAAGTGTCCCCAACTATCTTTTCATACATGTGCACGTACACAGATACAGATCCTTGTCTCAAGACTGTGTATCATTTCCACGCTCCCTCATGGAAGAAGTCTCTCAGAGACAGTTGTAGAGAGAAGGAAGCCAGCAGTGGGGCAGGAAGGTTAGAGAACATAGCCGATCTCCCCTCTGGGTTGACCCAGGTGAGTCTCAGGACCAGCAGGGCACAAGGACCTGGGTCCAGGTCTCACATCCTGTGTCCTGTGCAAAATGCCTCAGAGCTGGCTGTCCATTTGACCTTACTGTTAGCTTAATCCTATCACTGAAAATAAAAGCCTGTCAAGAAATAAAATTGAAGGAATTTTACACAAAAAAGAAAAACGGAAAGAATGAAGGATGAAAGAAAGAAGGAAAGGAGGAAGGAAAGAAAGAAAACAAGAAAGTAAGCCCAGTCATATGTCACATACCTTTAGTTCCAACACTTGGGAGGCAGAGTCAGGTGGATCTCAGTGAGTCTGAGGCCAGACTCGTCTCTAAAGTGAGTTTCAGGACAACCAGAACTGTTACACAAAGAAACCCTGTGTGAAAAATCACAAAACAAATGAATAACTAAACAAGGAAACAAATAAAATTAAAAGTTAAGACACATTGAGGGGGACAAGAGGCTGACAAAAGGGGACAGGCAGGGGCCATCAGCAGGGTCAGCACACAGAGGAGAAATAAGCTGCCATAGAAACTCAGAAGAGTTTCACATCTGCAGGCAAGAGCAGAGGTAACATCCCATAAGCCTTGCCTGGGACCAACTTTAACTTAAGGTTGAGGCCTGATTGTACCCTTGAGCCAGAAAATTCCAGTTCCTGAGGAAAAGGAGGAAGATTAGAGGCTGAGGCCCAAGTCCCCATCTGACTGAGTCTGATGCCACCTTCTGTTAGCTGTTGGCAGTGGCCAGGGTTAGATCCCACCCCACCCCTGCCCACCACACTTCTTGGCAGTGAGGCCACAGACCTGCCCTCCCCGGGAGGCAGCGTGGCACAGCTCTCCAGCACTTGCTCTGCTCTGAGAACAGAACTGAGACACTGTGGGACCTCATAGGTGATGTGGCAAACTTTGTTTTGAAAATGTACCCATGGTGATCTTAATCTGAGGAGCAGCACAAGGAGTGACCTTGTGTGTGTCTGTGTGAGCATGTGTATGATGTACATGTGCAGGTCAGAGGTCACCCTCAGCTATAGTTCCCCAGCCACAATGCTCACATCTATTTATTATCCATTTTTGATGGTCTTAGACTTTCCAAATACACTAAGGTGGTGGCCAGCACATTCCAAGGATCCACTGTCCCTCCATCTTGAGGCTGAAACTATAGGAATGTCTCAGCATGCCCAGTTGTTTTAAACGTGAAGTCTGAGGATCAGGTTCAGGTCTTGTCCCAAGGACTCTACTGAGACATCTGTCCTATCCAGGAGTGAATGTTTCCCAGTGTGTATAGACTGGGTATCAGATACTCACCAGGGCCCAATGTATAACAGGCAGGCTCTCAGCCACTGACCTATGGTCTCAGCCCAGCCGTGCTGACATCTTAACCTGTATTGACTGTATCCTGTCTCCTAGGAAGTCTCCTGATCCTAGCATGCATATCACACCTGCCATGCACGTGACCTACCGTGTCCATCAGTAGCTGCACGGGGCTGCAGGTCTCCATTTGGGCACTGGAGCAAAGCCATATTAAACAGCAAGGACAGCAGCGAGGACGGGGTGGAGACAGTATGGAGGACTCACCCTGTGCTGTGGTCCAAACACATTTCTCTCAAGTGGAAGCAGTTTCATGAAGGGAATGAGCTATGCAAGGCAGATCCAGAGCCCACAGCTGCCTCTCCAAAGGGAAGGGTCTGCATGGGGCTCCTCGTCCTAAATAGTCCCTGAAGTGTCCTCAAGTCAACAGCCACCCCCAGCTGTAACGTGGTCTGTGAATGGAGTCCACCAGAGGGGAGAAGAGATATGGGGGTGGGAGACAGAACTAAGAAGATTGATGAGTAAGTGACTTGGTGGACACTGGCCTCCTGGGTGCGTGGCCCAGCTGACCTCACTGGAACTCAGGCGCCCTGAAATGAGGTCTCTGACTACAGGTGCACACGGGACTTTGTAGCAAGGGTTTTCCCTGGTTTTGTTTCTGCAGCCAGAGACTTGCTTTGACTTCTTGAGCAAGGAGATGCTAGTGCACTTTATCAGCCGCCTGCAGGCCGATGTGTTGCTGATCAGGTGAGTCTAGAACCCAGAGACCAGGAACTGCTGAGTGCGGCACAAGGTGTTAGTTCTTCCAGTGACACACCACAGTCCACTCCACCTCTCTCAGGAGCCATCACTGTCATCAGGTGCTGGGAGGGGGAAGGCAAAGCAAGAGGAAACCTGGAAGCAGGGGTGAGGACTGCGGGGGAGCAGGAGCAGGGGTGAGGACTGTGGGGGAGGAGGGTCAGGGTGGGGACTGCAGGGGAGCAGGGGCAGGGGTGGGGACTGCAGGGGAGCAGGGGCAGGGGTGGGGACTGCAGGGGGCCAGGAGCAGGGGTGGGGACTCCAGGGGAGCAGGAACAGGGGTGGGGACTGCAGGGGAGCAGGAGCAGGGGTGGGGACTGCAGGGGAGCAGGGTGAGAACTTCGGGAAGCATGGGTCAGGGGTGAGGATTGCAGGGGAGCAGGGGCAGGGGTGAGGACTGCGGGAAGCATGGGTCAGGGGTGAGGACTGCAGCACTGATCAGCAGGTCTTTGGGGAAGGTGAACATGGGCTGTGCTTATGACTCCAGTTTCTCATGCTGAGGAAGCAGAATGCACATCATAGTCGGGCACAGGCAATGTTGGGAGCTTGCTAAGTCCCACTCTATGGGGAAGATTGTCCTGTGTGAGGGCAGCATCAGGAAGGAGGCACCTGGAGTGATACAGGAGGGGACACGGCCCTAGCTGGATCAGCCAAATTAAGCCTGAAGACCCATGTGATTGTCTTCACATTTGGGAAATTTGAATTAGGATGTGTTCCTTGCCTAGCAATACACTGTTGGTCTATCCTTATCCTTTCTTTTATTCTTGGTGGTGGGACAACAGGAAAATCAGAGAAAATTTGATCCTCTAGTGTTGGCTAGTGCTAGGATGTTTACAAGCTTAACTAATGCCTTTCTTTTTCTTTTTGTATTTGTTGTTGTTGTTGTTCAAGACTGGATTTCACTGTGTAGCTTTGGAGCCTGTCCTGGCACTCTCTCTGTAGACCAGGCTGGCCACGAACTCATAGAGATTCCCCTGCCTCTGCCTCCCCAGTGCTAGGATGAAAGGTGTGCACCAACAATGCCTAGCCTAATGACTTTTGTTAAATTAAATTTTCAACTCGTTAAGGAATTGAGGGAAATGTTAACACTGTCATAAATTAAGGCGGATGTGCATTTAAAAACAAGGAATTGGCTGGGCATGCTGCCTCACACCTGCAATTCAGGACTAGGGAGAGCATGGCAAGGCTGTGACAAGTTTGAGGCCAGCCTAGGCTGCAGTGTGCTTCAGACAGGCAGGGGGATGGTTGTGTGACATGTACACTATTCCTCAGTAGTCTTATTTGAAAGAAAAGCCTGGCCTTGAGAGTGAGTTCAGATCTCAGCTCAGCTGTCAGTGCCCCCACCTCCCACAGTACTGGAAGCTGCTCCCTGCAGCATCAGCTCGTGCTAGCCTGCTACCAGGACTAAATGACTGAACCTCAGCGGCAGTCTAGGCTCACAGGGACATAGCTGAAGGAAAACGGGAGGAACCCAGGCTTGGGCTCTTCAGGTCCTGAAACCCAGACATGGTACAGGGCTCTGTTAAGATTCAGCACCAAGAGACAATCCAACTTCTGCTTCCAGAGCAAAACATGGGTACTACGATGTGAGACAAGCCAACCATGAGAAGAAGCCCCTGCTCATAATGGTGGACACACTAAGAACCGTCCTCAAAGAGGTAAGAGGCGTGCCAGGAGAGGCTGACAGGCTGGGCATGTCTTCTGCTTTGAACCCCATGTCATAGGAAATTGACTTGGATCTCCTGAGTTGGCAACTCCCGCCTCCATGGGCGGTACCCACAGCTTGGACACATAAAATTCAGGAACCTGACCCCTGGCCAGGCTTACTGTGGGCCCCGCTCTTAGAAGCAGCCCTGCACTTGCCTCCATGAATCCTGGAACGCACACATTATCAAGTTTGATGGCTACCACGCAGGGGGAGGCCTGTGCTGGAACCAGGATCCTCTGTAGGTCGGGGCCCTCTCTGGTCATCATCCACTTATATCGCCTAAGCCTGTATCCTTTGCACACAGTGCAATGATGCTACCAGGAAGGGGGATCTCCTATTCAGGGTGCTCTGCAGTGGGAGCTGTCCTGAAGCTGCCCTTCATGGAGATGACAGTGCTTCATGTCCATCAAAACTGGCAGGGACCCTGACTGTGACTCCCCCTTGAGCACCATAGTCTCACAGCTCAGATGCCTACATTCCTGGAACAGCCTCCAAGTCCCCAAGCTGCTGGGAAGAGAGGTTGTCCCTGACCCACTTGGAGGCAGTCAGCTAAGGGAGAGACTCCTGAGTGGGCACCATCTCACCCCCTGCCCCCTTTCTCCAGCGGTTCCAGTATGTGGAAGTCCCAGGCAATCACTACGTCCACATGAACGACCACCACCTTGTGGCTGGAGTTGTCAGCTCCTTCCTCCAGAGCCAACCCAGGACAACTTCAAGGATGTAGCTCTGGTCTTGGAGCTTGTTCACACTGTCTGTCCAGCACCCTCAGCCCACAAAAGGTGGGATGGGTCTCACTGGGCTCAAAGCCCAAGAGAGGCAGCAGAGAATCCTGGGGCTGAGCTAGGGGAAGGGGGTAAAACGTTTCTGACCTTTGATATCTGACTTCATGAAGGGGGCAGGTGAGCTGGTGACCCTGAGGGAGCAGGACTGGGCATGGGTCCCTGGAGCTGGTCCTGGTCCCAGGCTGTGTGGCAATAAAATCCTCTCCCATGTTAACTGCATTGCAGATGGCTCTGTTGCGGGCAGGGGCTGCACAGAGGGCAAAGGGCGGGAGCAGGTCAGTCAGGTTTCCCAGGTGTCTCTACAGGCTTAGGAGGAAGGAGCAGCTCTCTTTACCACATCCTCCCGTGCCTTGCACTGCCAGCCTGTAGGTGCAGAGATGGAGCTGGGGACACAGCAGCAGCTTCTTGGCCTGGTGTCTGCTTCCCAAAGCACAGTCCGTGAGGGAGCAGTCCTGCTGGTCCTTGTGTTCAAAGCCTGCTCTCCAGGGACCAGAACAGCTCAGTAGGGTCGGAATTTCCGTTGGGCACGCATCAGTTCGATCCTCTGCTTGTCCTCCTCAAACTTCTTGCGCAGCTGTGCCAGATCTGGGGGTTGAAGGGACATAGGCGAGTCACACTGAGTGCCTGTGTGGTAACTGCCAGCTGCCCCACTTAAACAGGCTCCCCCCCCCATGACCCAGGGCAACTCTGCACGTTCCCCCTCTCCCACCCCATCCCCCTCTACCCCTGCTGTGCTCTGGGTAAGTTAGGATCCTGCAGTGGAACAGAACTGCACACTTAGCTACAGCCACTCTAGGGGCTGAGGTGGGATGATGATGGGCCAGGTTCCGAGATGAAAATGTACCAGGGACAAGAGAGGCCCAGAGAAAGCAGGACTCCTACCCCTTCTCCTGCTCCCTGAGAAGAAGCATTCCCAGGACCCCTTTCCCCAGATGGAGCCTTGGGGTAGGGGACTTCAGAATCAGCAGGTAGTCACCAAGTGACCTATGTCAGAGGTGGCTCCTGCATCTCTAGGGTGCAGCTGGGGGTTCAGGGCTGGACCATGTGAGGGGTGGGAGACAGTGGGGCAGGTGACAGTGCCAACAAAGGTGGGGTGTGAAGGCAGCTGCTGAGTGCACTCCATGCTCAGGAGAGGATCAGTCCTCCTCACACCTACACAAGTGTCCAGTGAGCAGCATGTATGCTGACAGCAGCAAGAGCTTGTACTCTCACGAGGAACACTCAAGCAGGCCGCCCTGGTCCTCCATTGACCCCCAGTCCTTCCCTCAGCACTGTGTTGGGGGCTGGCAGGTCCCTGCCCCTGTGCTTCTGCCCCCGGGCAAATACCATCTTTGTCTGGGGAGCAGTAGGGGCACTGTGGACAGGGACTCAGATCCTGAGCCTGTAGAGGATGTGCCTGAGGACACCCTGCTCCCTGTCCCAGATCTCTGGGGTGCCCTCAGGTGTCCCTTATGCTCCATCTTGGTCTCTCGGTGCTGCCAGGCATAGAAGTTGAGCAGCTCCTTGCGGGCACGTTTCCTTTTCTCCCTCTCCAGAACTCGCAGGCTGGCAGCTTCTGTTCGAGGGAGCACAGGCCTGCGGCCCCTGCGCGTCACCTTCACCCAGCCCTCCTCATCAGGGACTCCTTCCTCCTCCTTGGCCTTGGTCTCCTCCTGCATGGAAGAGACTGTGGCTGGGCGGGGCTCTGCAGCAGCAGCAGGTTGTCCGATTGATTGCCTAGAGGCCCAGTGCTGCCCCCTGCAGTAACCACCTTGGGCACACACAGTGTCTGTGTCCTGAGTGCCCACAGTAAGTGTTGAAGAACAGACACATCAATGACACTCCCTTCACCTGCAGGCCATTTAGAGTCCCTGTCACCCAGACAGGCGGTCCAGGTTTCAGCAAGCAAAAATAGGAGCCTGCACCCTGCACGGTAACCAAGGAATGGCTTCCACCACCATTGTCTCACGGGCACCACACTAAACACGCAATACTTGTGGTGCTGCTTCCCCATGGCCACACACAGATAAGTGGGGGCCTTATGAGCCCCTACCTCAACTATCATCTTGTCGTAGGCCTCCATGAACGTGTCTACTTCGACCCTAAGGGCCTCGGGATTGAACACGGAATCTTCATAGTCACTGATCGACTCTGAGGACCAAGGAAACATGGTTTAACATAAACTACACTGGGAAAGTGTAGAGAGAAGCCTTTTCCTTGTCTGCCGCTTGGTTTTTCCCCACCAGTCACCTGGGCTCTGCCGTGTTGTAGTCCCCAAATAACATACAAGACACTGTATTAATTATGAAGCTGTTGGCCTTGCTTGTTTCTTACTGGCTACTGACTTAAGTATTTATCCCATAATTGTTATTCTAAGTATTTCTCTTACCAGAGAACTTCCCGGGCTTCTTATCCCTATGCCAGTTACATCTTGACTCTCTGTGTTTCTTCTACCCAGAATCCTCCTGGACTCCTAGTCCCACCTATCTTGCTTCCCTATTGGCCAACAGTGCTTTATTGACATATACACAGGGCTTCCACATCAGGAAAGCATCAAGTTCTGTTTGCACTAGATGAAAGTAGACCGTGGGGACCAGAGATGGCTGGACTGTTAAAAGCTTTGTTGCTCTTACAGAAGGCCCATGTATTGTGATACTCTGTGTTCTGACAAAGCTTGCCTGGTTTTCAGAGGGTGGAACTAGCCACACGTTAACCATAGAGGACTGGAGGTCTGTATAGACAGACAGGATAGATAAGGCAGGGTGGAGACAGGATCTCTGCCTTTTTTGTGCTGAGGAGTGGGGGAGGTAAGAGGTGACTGTAGCTGGTCCTTTTCTTCTCTGGTCTTTCAGCTTTATCCCGTCTCTCACTCTGGATGTTTATTATTAATACAACTAGGATCGCACTTCATCAGGTGCTCAACGAGGTGCATGAATTCATGAAAAATCCTCCTGCCTGTGGCTCTGCAGCCACCTGCACACGCCATAGCCGAATGTGGCTGGAGTCACCACCCCACTGGCTAGATTGTCCTTCTTTCCCCCCAGGCCTTCTGGATGAGTCTGGGTTTTTCCCGTTGCACCTATCTGCAGTAAACTCCACAGGTGCTTGGGCTCCCAATGCTGCCAATGCTAGCCCCTCCCCACCTACCAGCTCTGCCTTTAGTCAGCTCCTGCCTTCTGTCCTCTGCCCCACATTTCCCTGTGTGTGGAGCGCCCTCTCCTGGTGGGTTGTGGGCTTTCCCTGCATCCCCTCCTTGGGCTGCTGCCACACTAGGTAGCTGCCTTGAATACCAGGACAGTCTCCTACCTCACCATCATCTTCATCGCCAACTTCAGCAGGTTTGGTGAGACAGTTGGGATCCTTAGAAGGGAGATTTAGTTTTAAAAAAAGTTTGGCGCACATTAAAAAATGGGAAACACTGGACAGTGGAGTCGCACTCGGGGTAGAGGCAGGCAAGACTCTGTAAGTTCAAGACCAACCTGGTCTACAAAGCAAGTCCCAGAACAGTTAAGGGTGTTATACAGAAAAACCCTGTCTCAAAGAAACCTAAAAAAAGGAGGGAAAAAGGGGGGGAGATACTATTGCAGTGGGGAGAGAGTTAGGTCTCTGTATGATTCATAATGGATGGTTTACAAAGGGGACAATTAAATGAGAGGATAATTAACACAAATGGGATTTACATAATGTCAATTATAAACATTATCAGTTTGATTATTCTTGCCTTATCTCTAAAATAGTTGGTTAAAATGAGTGCTAAGATATGTCTTAGAAAAACTTAATAAAACAGATTATAGAGATATCCAGACCCAGCCAAAGGAATGTAAAGGAGAACCAATCTCAGCATTAAATTATAAGGTTAGCCGGGCGGTGGTGGCGCATGCCTTTAATCCCAGCACTCGGGAGGCAGAGGCAGGCGGATCTCTGTGAGTTCGAGGCCGGGCTGGACCGGCAGCCTCCAAAACAATACAGAGAAACCCTGTCTGGTAAAACCAAAAAAAAAATTATAAGGTTAGATAGGAAAAGCCCAGGGTTTCAAACAACCAACCTTACTATATCCAGTCACCTTACTGGAAGTGCAAAATGACAGGTATCCCAGGATTACACAAGAGCTGGATGGACTCCTGTGAAAATGTTAGATTTGAAGAGATTTAAGGAAGCAATAGTCTCATATGGTATGCATTCACCTTTTTGAAGCAGATGTTAAACTCATAGTCAACTCATAACAGAATTATCCCACAAGACTGGAGAGACTTGGTTCCAGCAGTACGGGAGCCTGGTCCTCAACTACATTGGAGGACGTGGTGGAAAGATGAGGCTAGGACCACTGAACAACCAAGTAGGGAGGGAGAGCTCTTGATTGGAAGCAGTGGTAGTGCATCATTCAGTCTGAACTAACTCATATGACTAACAAATGCTTTTCATTTGAGCAGATATAACTTGCCAAAAGGAAGCCTTCCCAAAGTTAGCGTTAGGGCAGGGTTTTCTTTTCGTCTTTTGGGAGAATGAAGGAATCCAGCTAAGGCATCTGAAGACCACTGGACAAATGACACATGTGAAGACAAGAAAAAAATCATTCAAGAAAAAGAATTGGCCTATTGATATATCACATCCCCAACAAGATAAAAGTTCATAAATCTTCCCAAATATTTGTTTCTGCTGTTCTTTACAGACATATAATGCAAATGGTCTTTTTGTAGTCCCAATCCAATTAAAATTCAAAGCTGGCTTTGAATTACAGTGTGGCTCTCTCCTTCTCTAAATCTAATCATGCTTGTTAAAGGAAAATCCAAAATCTCTGCCATGTCAGAAGAGCCACCTGGTATGGGACAGAAGAAAAACAAAACTTTAGGGACAGCTTTATTGCCACTAATCTCACAAGTCTTTGGTTTTATTTTGACTCTGTAACACTTTTCTTAAGGTATCAATATTTGTAAAGGGAAGCCTTCCCACCAACCTGGTTTCAGAGCCGCATCAGTCCCAAATAAACACACAGGAGGCTATATTAATTATGAAGCTGTTGGCCTTGCTTGTTTCTTAGTGGCTAGCTCTGACTTAAGTAATTACCCCATAATTGTTAATCTAAGTATTTCTCTTACCGGAGAGGTTTCCGGGCTTCCTACCCCATGGTGTTACATCTTGACTTCCTGAATTTCTCCTGTGTTTCTCCTACCCAGAGTCCTCCTCTACTCCTAGTCCCACCTATCTTACTTCCCTATTGGCCAACAGTGCTTTATTGACATATACACAGGACTTCCCCAACAAATATTATCTGTAAATATATAAGATTAATATATATGCTATATATATATGTATGTGTTTTAAAACTTTTTGTCATGATATTAATGGTCCTATATGAATACCTACTAATTGTAGAAGAAGGCTCCATCTAGCTTCCTGTACATGATTTCAGGTTTGAGTCTCTATCAGATAGCTAGGAATGAAGTTTTTGTACTCTGGATGTACATAACAAATATTGAGCCTTTAGCCTCTTTGAGATCTGCTGTATATGAAATTTAAAATGCTTACTTTTCTGCAGTGAAGCATGATGGTGCCTAAAAGAGATCTCTGAGTCTCCAAAGAGAGGATGGGGCCCACAGCAAGGGTTCCATCCTGCTTTCCTGCACTTCTGGCTTACTCAGGTGATATTACTCCCTTCTCAGGGTTCTGAGGGAGCTGAAGACTAGAAAATTTAGTTATATTTTGTTCTTGCTAACAAATTCAGAAAAGAAAGTCACAAAAGAGATGTAAAGTGTATAAAGTTGAGAGATGTAAAAGGATAGTTTTGGGTTAGTAAGGCAAATTAGGATAGAGCTTAAATTAGGGGCAAAGCTTTGGACTCACCAATATCAGGTAGATAATCAAGTATTCTCTCTGAATTTGTCAAATGTAAATGAACTAGACATTGTGAATGTAATTCTTGACTGTATATACTATACATAGTTATTGTACTTTTGGATGTAGTTTTTCTATGTTAGTTATAACTTTCTCTTTTATTTAAGACCTAAAAGGAAATGCTGCGATATTTTGTTTGTGTTATAGCAAATACAGCTTGCCTGGAGATCAGAGGGTGGAGCTAGCCACCCATTAACCATAGAGGTCTGGAGGTCTGTACAGACAGGAGACAGGAAGTTGAGGTTGGGCAGAGACAGGAATTTGGCCCTTTTTGGTCTGAGGAGTCTGAGAGGTAAGAGGTGACAGTGCCTGCCCCTTCACTTCTGATCTTTCAGCTTTTACTGGATACTGACTCCGGGTTTTTTTATTGGGACTAATTAGGGTCTCGCAAAGCTGCCACATAGTGGCTCACAACCCCCAGAACACCAGTTCCAGCTGCATCCTTTTCTGTTTTCCTGGGATATGAGACACACAAGGGGTGCTCAGACACACAAAAGAAAAGTATTCAAAAATTAAAAATAAGGTCCCTGGTCAGAAGCAGTGAAGAAGAAAAAAAATGTTTTAATTTAAAAAGCAAAAGAAAGACAGCATACTCTCTAAAACCTCCCTGGCTATGCAGTAGTGTGAGGAAAAACAGCAAGCAGCTAGGAATCCCTTAAAAAACAAAAAACTGGCAAACTACTTCCGCCAAATGGGGCTACTTTTTATACACAGCACAGAAACAAAAAACAAAAACAAAAACAAAAAAAGCCCCACCACCAACAGGTTTGCACACAACCCTGGCTGTCCTAGAGCTGGCGCTGGCCACCCACGTGGGCTTCAATCACAAAGAGATCGGTCTGCCTCTGCCCCAAAGTGAGGGGTTACAGGTGTGCATTAGCGAGACTGTCCCTAGAATTTTAAACTTTTAGAAATTGAAGTGAGTTCAGATATACTTTTTCCCGCTGGGCATGGCTATAATCCCAGCTGAAACAGAAGGATACCTGTGCGTGCCGGACCATGTGAGGTGACAGTGAGACCCCGTGTCAAACCTTTTTCTTTGAGGCAGAGGTCTCACTTAGCCTACAGAGGTCTGAACACTGATCCCCCTGCCTCCATTTCCCCGAGTGCTGGGAATAACCGTGTGTGCCACCAAGGCGATTTATGTACATTGTTTCAGATGAGCACCTTAACCAGCTGAGTTTATCTCAGCCCAGTTTCTCGTGTTCCACCTCCAAGTTCAGTGCTCTGTTCCTCTTTCCATCCTTTGCCTGTACTTTTTGTTGTTGTTGTTCCTTTGGTTTTTTGTTTGTTTCATGTGTTTTTCTAGACAGGCAGTGTAGTTTCCAGCCTGTCCTGGAACTTGCTTAGTGGACCAAGATGTCCTCAAACTCACAGAGATCTGCCTGCCTCTGCCTCCCAAGTGCTGAGATTAAAAGCCTGTGCTATTACCACCTGGCTTTGTTTTCTTAGTTCTAAAAGGTTTTTCTTTGCTAATACTTTCAAGATTTTATTCAAGTGTTGTAAGGATGTTTTTCTCCTGCCTGCCTGCCACTTCCCAAATAACCACTCAGAGGCTTGATATTAATTATAAAAGTTTGCCTGATGACTCAGGTATATTACTAGCTAACTGCTACATTTAAATTAACCCATTTCTATTAATCTAAGTACTGCCATGTGGTCATAGTGTTACTGGTCAGCTGGCATGTTGTTCCTTGGGCGGCTGATGGTATGTCCCATGATCCCCCTTTCTTCTCCTGTATCTCTGATTGGATTTCCCACCTAGCTCTATCCTGCCTTGTGATAGGCTAAAGCAGCTTTATTTATTGACCAATGAAAGCCACACATATTTGTAGCTTACAGAAAAGCAACCTACATTATTTCCCTTTTTATGTCTAATCAAAAAGGAAGGGTTTAACTTTAACACACTAAAATTGCAAAACAAAACAGTTATCAATCAAAAATACAGTTAACAATATTTGGTCTATTTGTATTTCACAAAATCAGAGAAAACACTATCATTTCCCCTATCTTTGTGAGTCTACAGTTTCATATCTAATTTATCATTTATCAAAACTAAAGAAACTATAATTATAATTATCCAGTCTTCAACTCCATCAAACACTCCAGAAGTATGTAATATTACTGGAGTAAACAGGAAATACATTGCAAACAACTTCCCAAACTCTAGAGATGACAGAGCCTTCTGTCTGCCTGGACAGCCACCCAAAGTCCTTCTGTGACACTGGAGCATCCATCTTTAGCCTATAGGCCTTGAGCATCTGGCAGACTTTTCAGTGAAGCAGGAAATCTGAGGGACTGTCCCACCTCTATTGGCAAAGTTCATCAGCCACTTTGCTCTGTGTCCTGCAGAATGTCTGGCAGTTTCTTCTGTGAAGCAGGAACCTGAAGGGCCACCCCACCACGTTTTGGCAATGTTTAGTGGTCATTTTCCTGTGGGTGCTGCATGTCCAGTTTATTCAGCATACTGTCAAGCAGTGCAGGCCAGAGCAGTTTCTTGCCCAAATGGATAGCTTTGCCATGTTGACAGTAAACTCCATAATGAGTTTCTTTGATGCCCATATCTTCTTTGAAGTAATTGGTCCTGCCAAGAGCAGATGCATCTCATGTCAAGAAAAGTCTAAGTCATTAAAACATTTGAAATGCCATATTCTGTAGGTTTTGAAGCATTTGAAGATTACCTATCTATCTGAAATATACCTCTGTATTACCTTGAAAGCCTAACTAACTTAAGCTCAATAGATATGGGTGACTATTACCCTGTATTTCTTAATTATTCTGAATATCTCTTAAGGACTAATACTTCTTATTGCATAATTAAGCAAGCTGTGTAGGTATGACTTTAGGCAAAAATAAAAATAGATGTGTGTAATATAAGGACAGTAACCTTAAATTCACATCAATATACAAAAACCCTTTAAACAAGAATGGAAACATACATACAGTGTAGGAAAATTAACTTGAAATTGTTATCATTGTATCAAAATGCATGCCAATGCAAAATATCTGAGATTAATAGTTGTCTTTTTTCCTTTATTCCTATATTTCCCTATATACCAAACATCCATGACCTACCAAGGAACCAAATACCATCCATACCATCCAACTCTTGGGGATGTGAGCATCATTTTCTCCAGACTGCTTCCTGTTGCCTGTGGGCAAAGGCACTTATAGGGTTCCTGAGAAAACTGAGATAATGACCAAATCTGGGAAGATAAATTATAACCTTTGTTGTTAGATCTCACCTGTCAAGGTTCAGGAGGTCTCCCTTGATCTAATTTGGTTCATCTTAATCTGGAAGGAATCCACCACTTCTTGTTTCCTGTGGAAACAAAAGGAAAACCACTTCTCCAAAGCAATGCATCTTTTAAGTTTCATTTTACAAATATATTTTTTACTTATGTTTTAAAGTTAAGGCATTTTAAAAATATTTAAGTTGGCATATTTTAGTAGTTTTCTTGTAATCTTATGTCTCTCAGCAGCTGTTGTTTGCCTGTCAGCATTCAAAAAAATTTGAGGTCACAATAGTATAGAGGATCTGGACTCCCTGTGTATTTCCCATTTCTGTGTTGCTTATTTATTCATTTTATTTTCTCATTAAAGACCTTATTATATTATATTAACTATATATTTATTTCTATGGCTGTCTATAGCCAAATTCTTTCTCTCTTGAGCCTGCACATATTATAAAACACACTGGAACCTGTTTTAAGGTTTTTCTGTTTACCTTTTAGCCTGTTTTTTTTTCTGTCTGCATGAGAAAAAGTTATTTCCACCACACATCATGAGGCTTGTGTGAGACTTCGGGAACCGCCGTGCAGCTTAGCTCCTGGAGGCTGGCAGCCAGCTTCATCTTGCAGGCAGCTTTGGGAGACTCCTCTCTGAGCTGACAGCATGAGACTGTGAAACTAAGATCCAATAAGAGCAGTGCATATTCACAGCACACAGAAAGACATCCTGCAGCAAAGTGTGGATTCATAATTGTCCATTATACTATTTTCAAAATGGCTATGTTAAAATGGTTCTTAAAGCTGGAGCTGTACCACATCTGAAGATCCCCATTTTCAAGGCCAGTCTTGGCTAGAAAGTGACTTTGCGAAACCCTGTCAAAAAAATAAATAGTAAGAAAATGAAAAGGCCTTCTTAATTCCACTGCCTCTGCCATCCTGTGGTTGATGTCCATGGGAGATTTGTGAGTCATTGTCAACTGAGACACAGACATTTTGGGTATTGTATAGACTCTGGATTTATTTAAACCTGTGCTACAGCCAGTCTGTGGCTTTTTCTTGACTTTTTTTTTCCAAACCCTGATTCATCTACCTTAAGTTGAAAGTCTTGAGTTCCATTTTCTGCTACAAAATATTCAGGGCTACTCAGTAGGAGAAGGGTAGAGCTAGGTATTATTCTATTCTATCCCTATCACCGAATAACTGCTTTTCTGATGCCATAGCTCACCCAAACAGTGAAGTATTCCTGCAGGTTTAATTTCTTCAGAGCAAGACACTTGTGCCCTATGAATAGATGCCTAGGTTTCCATTTCACAGACTTGGTAGTGGTGGTGGGCTTCCTCTTGCTGATGAAGAAGGGAATCCTGGGGAACTCTTGTCTCTCTCAGCTGGGGATGTGAGCAATTATGAGATCCCTTCCACCTCTCTGGATATGCCTGCTGTTCCAATCCCAGGAAGCTTAAGCACCAGGTAAGAACATAAGACCTTAAAAAACACTCACTCTCTGCTGCTTATGTGAGCCCCTAGGAAGAGCCTGGGGTAGGCTGACCCTAGCCTTTCTCAGCCAATCCTATCCTCAGCCATTGATTGAATCCCTCCTGTGTGAAAGGCCTTCTGGTAAATGTTAGGGGGAAATAGTTTTAAAACAACCATATCCTACTTTTCAGAAGCAGATCTCTGGTGATGGTGCATGCCTTTAATTCCAGCACTCGGAAGACATAGAGGGATCTTGTGAGTTCCAGGCCAGCCTGTTCTACACAGAGAAAAACTGTCCCAAAAAACAGATCCACGTCTCCCCAGCTGGCATGAGAAGAACCCAGATTTTCACACAGAGGTAAAATCAGAGCTAGAGCAGAGGGAGTTGTGGGAGCTTGTGGTAGTAGTGGGATGGAATGGAGGGTGTGGTGATGTTTTTATTTTATTTATGTGCATTAGTGTTTTGCCTGAAACGGTCCCCTGGAACTGTAGTTACAGGCAGTTGGGAGCTGCCGTGTGGGTGGTGTGAGAGTTGAACCAGGGTCCTCTGGAAGAGCAGTCAGTGCTTTTAACTGCTGAGCCATTTTTCCAGCCCCTTGTGGTGATACACTGTGATCTAACAAAGATTGCCTGAAGATCAGAGTGCAGAGCTAGCCACAATAGTTGGCCACAGTTGGCCATAGAGACCAGGCAGTGGTGGCACACTTAAATCCCAGCACGTGAGAGACAGAGGCAGACAGATCTCTGTTAGTTCAAGGTCACTCTGGGCTACAGGAGATTGAATCCGTCTAAAGGAGAAACAGAGTAGTTCACAGTTTTGACCCCAGCACTATGGGATTGAGGCCGGAGTGATATGCCTGGGCAGAGAGAGGAATATAAGGTGGGAGGAGACAGGAGCTCAGGGCATTCAGTCTGAGGAGTCCTAGGAACAGGAACAGCCCTTTGTTCTGAGGATTCAGTAGAGGTAAGAACTAGAGCCTGGCTGCCCTGCACTCTGATTCAGGCAGGCTTTATTTCTTACAGCACAAACAAAATATCACCACAGAAGAGCACAGCAGGAAGCAGTTTGTCTTACAGGGCCATGAGTACTGAATCCAAGGGAATTACAGGAATGGACATGGAGAGGTAGGTGAGAAAAAGACTGGATAATAGTGGACTGTGAGGAGGCTGGAGAGATGGCTCAGAGGTTAAGAGCACTGACTGCTCTTCCAGAGTCCTGAGTTCAAGTCCCAGCAACCACATGGTGGCTCATAGCCACCTTGAATATGATCTGGTGCCCTCTGCTGGCATGTAACCAGAAGACTGTATACACAATAAATAAATAAAATCTTTTGAAAAAAAATAATGGACTGTGAGGATGAGGATGAGGCTGGATGGAGGGAGGGTGACTGAGGTCGTGGACCAGCAGGACAGACAGGAGCCAGCTGAGACCATGTCTGTTCAAAGATCTGGTTGAACCCAGGCAGTTTTGAGGTCAAAGGTACAGGAGATGCCAACCCAGAAGTCAGGCAGGCTGGAGACTGCTGCCCAAGTACAAGTCTGTGGCAAAGACACCAGCCTGCCTGGCGGGCACCAGGAGAATCTGTGCTCCTACATAATTCAGTAAAGATCCATTTCCACGGGGAATGAAAGCATTTCCTCAACTCATAGGTACCACTGCTTGTACTGTATAGAAAAGGTGTCATGGAATGGGGGTGTAGACATTGTTAGTGTGTGTGCCTGGCATGCACTAACCCTGGGTCTGACACCCTGCTTTGCATAAACCTAGCAGAGGGGGGCAGAAGGCTCAGTTCACAGTCATTCTCGGCTACATAGCAAGTCCCAACCCTTCCTCAAAGAACAAATAGAACAGCAAAGTTAGCATTGTCCCAGCTCCTACCCTCCCCAGAGTCAGCTCACTCAGAAAAGTCCAAGCTCACGTCCTGTGGGCCCATTACTTCCAGTCTCAATGTTCTCTACACGGCGGCTCCGCCCAGCCTCCACTTACCTCCTGCAGCCTGTGGTCCTCTTTCCACAGGTGTGTCCTGTCACTCCTGTGGGGAACTCACCACACTGATTCCCTCAGTGTCCAGATCTGTGGGTCACTGGTTAGGACAGTGAGCTGCGCTGTGCCTGGGATAACCTCCTGTTTTCCCAGAGGTTGACCTGGAAAATTTCAAAAGTGCAAGAGGTACAGATTTCTTCTTTTACTGTAAGATTCAATGATTGCATGTGCTCATTTGGGTAGTGTTTTGTGCTGTGGGTTCCTAGGATTTTGTTTCAGGGTTGTATCTTTCCTTGCCTGTGGGCAGATTCCACAGAACCCTCAATTACAATACATTCATTAATTCATTCAATTATCAAAGCTTGGTAGTGCCAGTGCCAGGCTCTGTTGAGGGGCCGTAGACTCAGTGGTGACATGGGTGACATGAAACACTGTGGAAACACAGTTGCCCCACTTCTGGGATGCTGAGGGGATCCTCAGGAGGTTTTGCTTGACAAGGGAACACCAGGGCCGTGTCTCACTCCTGGTGTCAGGTGGACCTGCCCAGGGATCGGCCCTGCACCTACATGTCCTTCAGAGCCTTCTCTGCTCTCTCCAGCACAGCCCCACCAGAACACCCTCCTTAGCTCAGCCTGAGCCAGGAGCCAGGACGCTGGAGCTCCTAGCACCAGAATCCCTGTGACTCTCTAAGCCCAGGTAGGGCGGGGCCTGGGTGATGGGCGGGGCCTAGAGATGGCGCTTGTTGGAGCGGAACTGGGGCTACGACTGGGAGGAGGCGTGCGGGGGTGGGTGGGACTGCAGGAAAATCGGTGGCAGAGCTCGAGCTTCTGAGTCCTTCCCGTTCCTGTGACCTCCTGGACGAGGAGCGACAACCGCGCGAACAGAGCAATGGGTGAAAATGCCCCGCAGGGCCGCGTAGATCGGAGTGGGAAGGGGGGAGGCTCAGCGAGATCCCCTATGCACCCACTCACTCTAGCCGGTGGAGCTGACACTCACCGCCCTTCCCACTGCCTGCCCAGGTCCAGTCATCAGCTCCGGGATTCAGCAGAGCCAAACTGTGGGATCCTAATGAGCCACGTGACCACTGAGTTCGGATAGCCCTTAGATTAGAGGACGGTGCCTACCGCTATTCGGGCTTGCACTTTGGGGCCAGCAGCATGAGAAGGTCATCTCTGGGACACACCGGACCTGAGTAGGCCCAGCTGGAGTCCGGGAATCATGCTGTCTGCCTCTGACTTTCTGGATGAGTTTGCCCATCGTTTGTATCTCCGTGTGGCTATGTTTTGTGATCTGTGTACTGAGAATGGCAGTAGTCCCACTACTGTGACTTTTCTGGCCAGCCTCTGAAGACAGAAAATGCTGGCCACGGTAATCTCCCCAGTTTCTATTTCCAAGGGTTCAGTTCCCGAACGTCCAAAACATTTACTGCAAGGCCCGTTTTTGAGTTGCATGCTAGTCTGTTGTCATAAAAGCCCCAGCCATCTTGAAGACTGCCCTCCAGGACCTCTCATTATTTCATTGAATGTAGCTTTAGCGGCCTGAAATTCCTTTTATCAACTTGTCCTGAGCTGACTGCAAATCACCTGTCTCTGCCTCCTCAGGACTAGGATAACAAATGTGCATTGTTTTACTTGGTTCTCATGCAATATTTCTAGAGACAGAAAACACTGTACAATTTTTTTTTTTTTTTGGTTTTTTCGAGACAGGGTTTCTCTGTAGCTTTGGAGGCTGTCCTGGAACTCACTTTGTAGACCAGGCTGGCCTCGAACTCACAGCGATCCACCTGCCTCTGCCTCCCGAGTGCTGGGATTAAAGGCGTAGGCCACCAACACCCGGCCACTGCACAAATTTTAAATACATTGTTTGTTTTGGCGATTTGTGTTTTATAAGACAAGGTCTCCTATAGTCAAGGCTGACCTCAAATACCTGATCCTACCTATTTCTACCTTGTAAGAACTGTGATGACATGTGGTACCACAGCTCTTATAACACACACACACACACACACACACACACACACACACACACACACACGAAAAGAATGTATCACATTTATTGAATGGAGTTCATTGATGTTTGAAGTTTCAGGCACCCATGGGGGTTCTTAGAAAGGGTCCCCTAGGTAAGAGCAGTGTAATCTGTTTACCCCAGTTTAACAGAAAAGGACTGAGGGTGGAGAGGTCTGAAGGAACCAGTCCAAGGTCACACAGCCCCAAGTGGCAGGGTTCAAGCCAGCACCCACCAGCCCAGTGCTTCCTGTTCTGTTCCAACACCCATAGTTCCTTCCAAAAAGCCTACTCAGCGTTGGAGAGATGGCTCAGAGGTTAAGAGCACTGGCTGCTCTTCCAGAGGTCCTGAGTTCAATTCCCACCAACCGCATGATTGCTCACAACCATCTATAATGAGATCTGGTGCCCTCTTCTGGCCTGCAGAGACGTATGCAGACAGAACATTGTATACATAATAAATGAATAAATCTTTAAAAAGCAAAACAAACAAACAAAAATAAAGACCTTCAAACATTAAAAAAAAAAGCTCACTCTCATCCAGGGAACCCGATTGTCTTTCCCTCCTCAGGGTACCTGGCAGTCTGTCTGTCCAGAGCCAGGACATAGGCCAGTAGCACCAACGCCCATGCATGCTGGAGCATACACTGGTGAGGGTGAGGAAGGGCTGGGTCCATGGATGCAGGGGACAAATGACTGGTTCTGCCTCACAGGTCTGTTCTCAGAGTTGAAGCTGGCTGTGCCTTGGGGCCACATTGCTGTCAAAGTCTGGGGCTCCCAGAAGAACCCTCCAGTTCTCTGCCTGCATGGCTGGCTGGACAATGCCAACTCCTTTGACAGGCTCATTCCTCTTCTTCCACAAGGTGGGGCTATGGGTTGAGGGACAGGGAGGGGTGGAAGCTGCCATGCAGACCCCTCCTCTTCCTCCTCTCTCTGCAGATTTTCATTATGTGGCCATGGATTTCGGGGGACATGGACTCTCCTCCCATTACAAGCCAGGTCTCCTGTATAACCACCAAAATTTTGTGAGTGAGGTCCGAAGGGTGGCAGCAGGTGAGCGAGAGCCCCTGAGTGCCATGAGGCGTCGTGTGTGTTGGGGGATGCTCTGCCACACCCTCTCATCCTAGCAGGTGGGATGCAGAGTCTGCAGACAGCGGGGGTTGGGAATTGATGCCTGGGGTCTGGCTCCAGTTCTCCCAGCCCCTGAGCAGAGCTTGTGTCCTCCACTAGGAGCTTCCCACAGTGGAGCTGAGGCCCCTCAGCTGGTCTCCTGGGTGGGGTGCTACAGGTGCTTGGAGGGAGTTCCAAGCCAGGACACAGGAAGAAGTTTAGAGTAAGGCTGGACCATGCAAACCTTCTGTTTGAATTTGTGTTTTCAGCATTTAAATGGACTCGGTTCTCCTTCATGGGCCACAGTTTTGGTGAGTCAGCTTTACACTGACCCTGAGTTCTGTGGAGGGATATAGGACAGGGGAAAACTTGACACCTGGTACCTGGTACCTTCCCTGGCCCTCTGAGAAGGAAGAAGTCCTCAACCGCTTACCTTAGGGACAGTGCCTCTGGTCTCAGGGGGGGTGTGGACTGTCCTTGTAAGTGTTTTCAGATGGAGGGACCTTGGTGACCCAGGGAGAAGCACGAGCTGAAGATGCAGAGTCCCAAGCCCATGTGGGAGAGGAGCTGGGGACGGGACAGCCCATAAGAAAGGACTGGGGAGGATGGGGAGCTGGAGAGGTCACTTAGATGTCAGCACTGTCTCTGTTCTGGCAGGTGGCACTGTGGGCGGCATGGTGAGTAGCTGGCTGTTCTGGGGTGGCCTGGGACCTTTCTGGGCATGGGTGTGGGTAGACCAGTGTGAGTAGGACAGGAAGAGCCCCTTCACACAGTGGATGCGGAAGCTAGCCAGCACCTCCTTAGCCACAGGCAACTTCACATGTGCACTGTGTCCTGGGGACGGTTCCGTGTAGTTTCTCCATGTCTCATGTAGGGTTACTGCGGTCTGCAGCGGGGTCTGGGAGAAGCACACTGAAGGGACAGCAGACTCAGCTCTGGGGAAGCCTGTGTCTCCACCCACTCACTTGTTCCTCTGTTGTCACTTTCTAGTTCTCCTGCATCTTCCCCGAGATGGTGGACAAACTTATCTTGCTGGACTCAACACCATTTCTCCTGGACTGTAATGTAGGAACCGACTTCTTGGGGCTGCCATGGGGACCCCAGACTTTGGGGGTTATCTTCAGCTCTGTCTCCTGTGGACTTTAAGGAGGCAGGAGAGTGTGGCAGAGGGGGATAATTAACCAGGGGTCTCCCCCAGAGAGGGTAGCATCCTGAAGCTTGTGGCCCTAAGATTGTCAGGGACAGGGGATGGGAACTGTTTGGAAGGCCCACTCTGTGGTCTGGATTCTGCAGAATGCTGGTGGATCCAGCATAGACTGTGAAACAGCAGAGGTGGATGAAAGGGGCAGACGTGGGTGGAGGGAGTTCAGGGCCACAGGAAGCTCCCTGCCCTGACACCTAAGCAATGCCTTTGAGCTGTGCACACAGAACACAATCCTATATATTGACTGTGTGTGTGACTGATAGAAAAATACCACCACCAGCATTGACAACATCCAGTACTGTCCCTGTATCTGAGACTAGGCTCTGTCCTTTCCCTACTGTGTGACTAAGGAAGTTAGTTTGCTCCAGAAGACTCCACTGTGTCAATTTCCATCTTCCCATTTTCTCATTTAAAGCATGGCCAAACCTTCCTGGAGGACAAGAACTCATTCTTCCTTTTTTGAAACAGAAGCTCATTTTATAATCAAGGCTGGCCATGATCTCCTGGCAATCCTCCTGCCCTACGTCCTAACTAGAATTAGTTTATAGTTTGTTTTGTTGTTTGTTTGTTTTTTTTGAGACTGGGTTTTTCTGTGTAGCTTTGTTTGTCTTGAAACTAGCTCTATAGACTGGAGTGGCCTACTGATAGATATCCTCCTGCCTCTGCCTCCCAAGTTCTGCGATTAAAGGTGTGCTAGCACTAGCTCAGTAATTTTCATTGCAAGAACCATTGACTAACGTGTTAGTGTGGATCCCAATACCCAGACCATGGTAATCTTGGCCTTTTGTTGTTTGCAATGTCCACTGATGCAACAAGTATAGAATCTTGGGACATCCTCTGCTGTGGTACTGCGTGGCAGTGAGTCCCCAAAGGCCTGAACTTGCCATTGGGGCCATGAAGTATTGCAGATGAAATTTCAAACCCATCCACACGGCCTGCCTGTTCCCACTTTTTGTCATTCACAATGATAGCCTTGACTGAAGTCAGTGAAATAACCTGCCCTCAGTGGAAACCTAATGTCACACTCTACAAAGCACTTGGCAGCTAACAGAGGCCGCCTCCCCCATCACCTGGTCCCTCTAGCTGTCAGGCAAGCCTGTGCTGCATGGGAGAGGATGACTAGCATGGGCTGTTCCCCCTCAGAGGGGCACCGAGGGCAGTGGGCAGGACCCGGGAAGGGGCTGGGACTCCTCTCTGGGGCGTCCCTATTCACCAGCTCTGGCTGATCCTTAGGAAACAGAGAACATCGTGACCTACAAACGGAGGAACATAGAGCACATGTTGCAGGTGGAAGCTTCCCAGGATTCCTTGAGGGTGTCCAGTATGGAGGAGATGTTGCAGGGGTGGGTGATGGAAGCCAGGGCAGGGAGGAGGAGGGCTGGGATTGGTGCGCCCTGGTAGAAACCCTCCAAGTTAAGGAAAATGCACAGCCTCTTCCTCCTCACAATGTCTTTCTCCCCCAGCCCCTAGTTTGCTTCCCCCTGGGTGGCACTCAGCACCAGGCCTCCAGGCCTCAGAAGCCCCTTGTGGTCACCCTTCTTTCTTCATGCCTTGTGGGGGGAGGGGTTACTCTTTCTTTCCCCTCCAATTCATGCTGTATTGGCTCACCTCTGCCCTCTGGCTACCAGCCTTAGGCTACTTACCAATTACTAGCAGTTTTCTCTGTTCTGCTACTGGCGCTGTCTGGTAGCTTCTTCCTCAGAACAACCACACTGCCCTGAATCATTGTTGTCCTCTAAAATTGTGCCGATGGTCCAACTGGGAGAGTCCTGGTCTGTATTCACTGCATCTGGCAGTGTGCACGGTAGCACAGGGCTTCACTCTTGTTGTTGCTGTCCAGAGGAGTGGACACTGCACCCATGCACACACACACACACACACACACACACACACACACACACACACACACTATCAGGCAGACACGTTGATGCTACAAACACCCCTCAGGTTCAGAAAGACATACACAGAGTTCATGGGAAGTCTCCCTTCCCTCCATCTCCCCTTCCTCCTCCTCCTTTCCTTCCTGGAGTCTGAACCTAAGCCTCAAGCTCTTTACCCCTGAACCACATCCCCAGTCCATCTTGTTGCTGTTTGTTTATTTTCCAGGGATTTACTATCATTCATGCTGGCCTTGAACTCATAATGTAGCCACGACTGGCCTTGAATTCAAATCCATCTGCCTCAGCCTCCTTAGCCCTGGAATTAAGCACAGCATTCCCAGCTGCCTGATTTCCCTTGTGTCCAACCTCTGGGCTTGATCAAGGCATGGTTCCTTCCACGTCTTTCTGTCTCCCAGGCTCCTGAATAAAAATAGCCACTTGAATAAAGAGTGTGGGGAACTCCTGCTGCAGAGAGGAACCAGGAAGATGGCCACGGGTAAGGACTCACCGCTGTTATTACTGAGGGATGACCTGGGGGCTTGCAAGTGACAAGTGATACTGTGTGGCTGAAGTGTTTCCCTGACCCTTCCGTTGCCTCACACACAGCCCTGAGAGAGCAGGGGAAACTGAGGCTGCAAATAACCATTGCAGAAAACCACACTGCGTGGAGGTTGGCAGGCACTGGCACGAAGGTTGGTGGCTGCCATGGCCACGCCCTGCTGGGCCTGTGGGGAGGAGGTGCTGTGGCTCTGGCAGCCTCTCACACGATAGTCTCTTCTGGATTTCTCCTTCCATGTATTGTCAAGAGCTTCTCTAAGGTTCTCAGAGCTGTGTTCTCCATCAAGACAGTGAGTGAGGCTTGAGCCACACGGTCCCAGTCTCAATGAAGCTGCAGTCTGTAGAGGTGGCCCAAGCCCAGAGGGCAGCGTTTACAAATGCCCTTGGTGGAAATGACAGCTTCTAGTCCTAGGCAGAAGGAGACTGAGCAGAAAAAGTGAATTTTAGAAGGAAAACAGATGATAAAAAAGTTTCAGACACTTGTCTGTTTCTGAAGCAGAGAGAGTGTGACAGCTTGGAGGAGCAGGGGTTGGTTTTGGCTCTCAGTCACAGGGGACTGTCCATCATGACTGGATGTATATTGGAGCAGGAGCAGGGGGCAGCTGGTCATATTGTGAGCACAGTGAGGAAGTAGAGAGAGAGATTAATGCTGGTTTTCAGCTCCTGGAACGAAGGCCACAGGATAGTGTTGCCCAGAGTCAGGGTAGACCTCCCCACATCAGACTAATCTAGAAACTTCCTCAGGGACATGGGCAAGGATTGTTTCCATGATGATTGTAAAGCCTGTCAAGCTCACATTAACCACACTCACAAGGAAACAATGAATGAATGTGAGTGCCCTGGGGAGGGGCTTGGAGACTCTCTCAGGTGAGGTGAAAGCTTGTGTGAGGCGGTGTGATGGGACAGGAAGGGCCCCAAAGGGGAACAAAACCCAGGGTTCAGTTCCTGTTGGTGCCAGCTGCGTCACAATGGGACTCCCCCAGAGTTAGGAAACAGACAAGGTCGGTAGATTTTTGCTCTCACAGGCTGTCAGGATCAATTGAGGTTCAGAAAATTAATTTCTGCAGAAACAAAAGAAGTAGGTCTCCCTCCACCTACCCAGCGCATGTGGGTTGGACAAGTTGGGAAATCCTGTTGAGCAAGAGGAAGATACTAGAGAGTGCTGTGCACTGGAGCCAACAGACCCCCTGGCTGAGACAGCTGGTCATGTGGGAGCCCCTGTCCTGTGTGAACGGAATTCCAAGTGCTGAAAGAGGCCTCCTGGGCTGCACGTTGTGTTCAGGTGCAGACTACATTTCTGGTTTATTTGGTTTTAGTCCTGAGCCTGTCTCCCCTCCCTGCAAACCCTTGTGAAGACTGAGAGCCTAGGCTTTTGTGCCCCACAAAGACGGCCAACCCAGGGGTTCCCTGTACAGAAGAGGGCTAATCCAAGGGAGGCTTTATCCCAGCCAGACCAGGGAGTCTGACTGGGCCCCTTGTTGCCTGAAATGTGGGCCCAGATGCTGAATGGTCTCTAAGGAGGCAGTGGGCATTGCTGAGAAGGTGAGCCCTTTGCTGGGGAGCAGGCAAGGGGTGGGAGCACTGCTGTGGGAGCACCCCTCTGTGGCAGAATAAGCTCAGGAGAAGGTAGATTCAGATCCTGCAGGCTCTCTGGATACAGTGTTGGGAAAGCATTGTTCTGGGCCTCTAGCTCCAACTCTCTCTTTCTCCCTAACTACCTCTGTGTCCCCCTCTCTCTTTTCCCCTCCGTCTCTCCATTCTCCTCCATTCTCACTCAGATGAACCAAGACAGGAGCTTCTGGAACGTCTCAATCCAGGAGGCAGGTTATCAAATCTGGTAGGAGCAGTCTCTGTGGGAGGTATGTCAGGCTGTGTATACCAGGGGCAGAGCACACACTGTCCAAATCCACAGTGAGACCAGGAGACTTTGCCGTTTCCCTCTGAGCCTTAGGGGGCTTTGGCGGGGGCACTGCGTCCTTCCTCCATGGGTCTGAGGCTCTGGGTCCTTGACATGGTCATGCCCGTGTCCACAGCACCCAGTTACTCAGGACCTCATTGACTCTGGGTTCCCTCTGCTCCCTATGAGTGTGTGTGTGTGTGTGTGTGTGTGTGTGTGCGTGTGTGTGTGTGTGTGTGTGTGTGTGTGTGTGTGTGTGTGTGTGTGTGTGTGAGCATGCCATGGACCTGTGTTAAGGTCAGAAGATAATCTATGGAAGTCAATTCTCTGTTGTCAGCTCCGCCGTGGGGCTCCCAGGACCAAACTCAGGCCTTCAGACCTGGCAGCCGGTGCTTTTCCCTGCCAGACATCTCTCCTGTCCTCCAGCTCGTCTCTGCCACAGGCTGTCTCAGAGCAAGGATTCAGGTGGACTGGCTGCTCAGCCCTTCCTCACCACTGTGGTTACAGCACATGCCGTCATCTCTGGATTCTCATGTTGGTGCTGGGACGGAACTCAGGGTCTCAGGCCTGTATGGCAGACACTTTGCCAGCTAAGCACTCTCCCCAGTCCTGACACCCCTCCTTTCTGAAGTATTTTCACATTCTCTGATCAGAGACCCCAGACCTGGAGGAATGTACAACCCTCTGCAGGGCCCCACCCTGCAAGAGCAGAGAGGACCCTTCATGGAGCAGGTCAGGTGACAGGCTGTGACAGCCCAGGGTGAGACAGAGGCCTCTGCCTCAGATTCACTAAGCTCAGAGGACCTGAGTGTTGGGCAATCGGGAAATCTTTGTCACATGGTCCTCTTTGTATCAGAGTCACAGGTGCCTGCATAGAGCTCTATCAACAATTAAACATTCCATTTGTCATCCAAGAGTTCCATACTCTCTAATGAGAGGAAAACCCTAATAATTACAGAAAATAGCATTCTTTAATGTTTATGTAATTACTTTTTTTTCAGAGTAGTATCTAGAGTCATGCATTGCTTTACCTGTGTATGTGTGTGGGCATACACATGTGTGTGCGTGCGTGTGTGTTCAACCATTCCCAGACATACCATCAGGCTAATCATCATTTTAGCTTCCTTTTCTTTTTTTTCCTTTTCTTTTTTTTTAACATGAATTATTTTTATTTTGTGTGCATTGGTGTTTTGCCTGTGTGTATATCTGTTGGATCCCTTACAAGTGGAGTAATAGACAGTTGTGAGCTGCCATATGAGAGCTGGGAATTGAACCCAGGTCCTCTGGATAAACAGCCAGTGCTCTTAACCACTGAACCATCTCTCCAGCACCCCTCCACCTTGAGCTCTTTATTACCTCTTTTTTCAGTCAGCATTAAAAAAATAAAGAGCCTGCCTCAAAGAGGCAGAAGCAGGCAAACCTCTGTGTGTCTGAGGCTAGCCTGATCTAAACAGCAAATCTGTGCCAGGAGTCACTACATAGTAGGACCTGTCTCAAATAAATAAATGAGTAGTTTTTTGAAACGTGATAAACAGTTGGCCAAAACAAACAACAGTAAAAAAAAAAATAAGCCAGGCAGTGGTAGCACAAGCCTTTATTCAGAGCATTCGGGAAGCAGAGGCAGGTGGATTTCTGTGAGTTCAAGGCCAGGCTGATCTACAGGACAAGTTCCAGGACAGCCAATGCTACTACATAGAGAAATACTGTCTCTAAAAAACAAAACGTAAGAATCAGATAACAAAGAAAATAAAAGTGTAAGGTGTGGCTTCTAGTTCCATGATAGAATGTTTGCTCAGCATGCACGAGACCCTGGGTTCCAGCAGCAGCACTACAGAAAAAGAAAGGAGATTTATTTGAGGTCTGCGGAGGTCGAAAGCCTCAGACTGCAGTGTGAGCATCTACCCCTTCCATGTCCAGTCCTTGGCTTTGTCTCATTTTAACAACTTCCCTGTGTTGCAGACACGGAGCTGGGACCTCTGCCCTCTAGCTGTCACTTCTCTCTAGACTTGTCTTGGAGTGGTTTCTGTCCTTGAGTGCAGAATTGTGGAATTGCAACTGGACACGTGTCTTTTATGGATTCTGGAATTGGAATCATCTCCTTGTTTGATTCTAAGACTCCTCAAGGCTTCTATTTGCATTTACGTGTTTAACACACTGGGGACTTAGACCATCTGCAGAAGGTGTGCAGGTCTGACTTCACCTTTCCTTTGGTGGCTGTGCACTTTTCTTTGGTAGCTGGGAAAAGGGAGTTGAGCAGACTTGCAGGCAGGTCTCTCCCTACCCTGACACCTGCAGTCCTTGCCATTTCCCTTGTTGGAGCAGGTCCCCAGAGCTGGCTTTTCCATTCCCTGCCAGCACCTGGAAACTTCCAAGGCTTGTGAGTTCCTATGTGACAGCAGAGGCTGGGATCACACACACACACACACACACACACCTCCCTGCACACAGTTTTTAGGGAGGATGTGGCTGAACCTTTCTATATGGGTAGAGTTATGCATCAAAATGGCAGGGACCTAGTCTGACAAGGATAACAGGGGTCTCGATTACTCTCTAATTTAAGTGTTTAAACAACCAAATGAACAGTTTCTTTGTCTGAGGTGAGAGTTGGAGCCTAGAGTGGTGGCGCACACCTTTAGTCCCAGCACTTGGAGGCAGAGGCAGGCAGATCTCTGTGAGTTGAGGCCAGCCTGGTCTACAGAGTGAGTTCCAGGCCATCAAGGGTTACAAAGTGAGATCCTGTCTAAAAACAAGAGAGGGAAGGATGAGAGAGCCTGACTGTCTCCTTCATCGTCCTTCCCTGTCCCTTGGGGTCTGAGGAGACACCCATGTGCTGTGGTCAGACAGCCTTGACCAAGCTCTGCTCTAGAAGAATCCCAGGACGGAAGTGCAAGGCTTCTTCATGACAGGGTGGCTTTCACCAGCCCAGATGAAGACATGAGCCCTGGGTGAAAACCCTGGGACTTCCCCAGGAAGCCAGGTGAGTCCCTTCCTGTAACAGGTGACACTGAAACCACCATGCTTTGTGCTTTCCCCAGGTGTGGTGTCCAACAGGGACCGGAGGCTGTCTGTGGTAAGTGTCACTGTCTTCCAGCTCCCTTCATAGATTTTCTGTGGTCTGTTTTTGAAAATGCTTTTAAAATGATATGCATAGCATAGTATGGACACAAGAGACATATTCCCCATTTTAGATGTCTGTAAGTACACTGCTGGGTAGTATTAAGTATTGTTTTTTGTAACCATCATCAACACCTATAGCTCAACCTCTGTCATCCTCAGATAACACTGAACCCATTAAAACACTAAGTCCTCACTTGTCTCTCCAGCAACCCCTAATGTACTTTTCTGCCTCTGTGAAGTTGACTGTTTGATTTCCTTTCATGAGATGCTTATGCTTGTCCTTTTGTGCCTGGCTTCTTCTGCGCCCCAGCATCATGTTTTCCAGAACCTTCCATGTGAAACACATGTCCATGTTTACACCTTTGTGAGACCAAAAACTAGCTGTTCCATACTGGGGACTGTAATCCCAGCACGTGGAGACAGAGGCACGCATATCTTCATGAGGTTTTTTTCTTTAAACATCTTTTTGACATTTGTTTTTTAATGTATATAATTTTTATTTGTGTGTGTGCATGTGTGTGTGCCTGCATGTGTGTGTGTGAGCACACTCGTGTGTAAGGTCAGGGGGACGCTTGTGTGGGACTCAGGACAACTCGTGGGAGTCTCTCCTTCCTCCACATGACGGTGATGGTCAATCTCAGTCATTTACAGCATGCGTTTATACACAGCCATCTTGCTAGCCCACACCACATTTTCCATGTCTAGCCCTCTGCCCATAGACATTGGGGTTCGTGTTTTGGCAATTCAGATCAGTGTTGCTGTAACACGAGTACAAGTGTCTGAGTCCTTGCTTCCAGATCTTGGATATGGCACAAGAGAGTTGCTGGAGCCCAGGGTAACTTGTGACTGATCTTTAGAAGGTGCTAAACTGTTGTCTCCAGAGGCTGAACTGTTTCATCTTCCCACCAACGGTGCACAAAGGTTCTGGTGTCATCCCCAATCTGTCTCTCACACACACACGGGGAAGGCGGGTGCCGGCCACTGAACCTGAGACTTGTGCACCCTAGGCAAGTGTTATTCCAACGGCTACGTCCCCAGATCCCTTTTATGACTTTGACCATGTGTGCATGCATTGACATACTTTCCCCAAGTGTCCCCAAGTATCTTTTCATACATGTGCACGTACACAGATACAGACCCTTGTCTCAGGATTGTGTATCATTTCCACGCTCCCTCATGGAAGAAGTCTCTCAGAGACAGTTGTAGAGAGAAGGAAGCCAGCAGCGGGGCAGGAGGGTTAGAGAACACAGCCAGTCTCCCCTCTGGGTTGACCCAGGTGAGTCTCAGGACCAGCAGGGCACAAGGACCTGGGTCCAGGTCTCACATCCTGTGTCCTCTGCAAAATGCCCCAGAGCTGGCTGTCCATTTGACCTTGTGGTTGGCTTAATCCTATCACTCAAAAAAAGTGTGTCAGGAAATATAATTGGAATAAGAGATGATGGGGGAACAAGAGGCTGACAAGAGGGGACAGGCAGGGGCCATCAGCAAGGTCAACACACAGAGGAGAAATAAGCTGCCATAGAAACTCAGAAGAGTTTCACATCTGCAGGCAAGAGCAGAGGTAACTTCCCATAAGCCTTGCCTGGGACCAACTTTAAATTAAGGTGATTGTACCCTTGAGCCAGACAATTCCAGTTCCTGAGGAAAAGGAGGGAGATTAGAGGCTAAGGCCCAAGTCCCCATCTGACTGAGTCTGATGCCACCTCCTGTTAGCTGTTGGCTGTGGCCAGGGTTAGATCCCACCCCACCCCTGCCCACCACACTTCTTGGCAGTGAGGCCACAGACCTGCCCTCCCCGGGAGGCAGCGTGGCACAGCTCTCCAGCACTTGCTCTGCTCTGAGAACAGAACTGAGACACTGTGGGCATTTGTAACTGACATAGGAATCTTTGTTTTGAATATGTACCCATGGTGATCTTAATCTGAGGAGCAGGACAAGGAGTGACCTTGTGTGTGTCTGTGTGAGCATGTGTATGATGTACATGTGCAGTCAGAGGTCACCCTCAGCTATAGTTCCCCAGCCACAATGCTCACATGTATTTATTATCCATTTTTGATGGTCTTAGACTTTCCAAATACACTAAGGTGGTGGCCAGCACATTCCAAGGATCCACTGTCCCTCCATCTTGAGGCTGAAACTATAGGAATGTCTCAGCATGCCCAGTTGTTTTAAACGTTCAGGTCTTGTCCCAAGGACTCTACTGAGACATCTGTCCTATCCAGGAGTGAATGTTTCCCAGTGTGTATAGATTGGGTATCAGATACTCACCAGGGCCCAATGTATAACAGGCAGGCTCTCAGCCACTGGCCTACGGTCTCAGCCCAGCCGTGCTGACATCTTAACCTGTATTGACTGTATCCTGTCTCCTAGGAAGTCTCCTGATCCTAGCATGCATATCACACCTGCCATGCACGTGACCTACCGTGTCCATCAGTAGCTGCACGGGGCTGCAGGTCTCCATTTTGGGCACTGGAGCAAAGCCATATTAAACGGCAAGGACGGCAGCGAGGACGGGGTGGAGACAGTATGGAGGACTCACCCTGTGCTGTGGTCCAAACACATTTCTTTCAAGTGGAAGCTGTTTCATGAAGGGAATGAGCTATGCAAGGCAGATCCAGAGCCCACAGCTGCCTCTCCAAAGGGAAGGGGCTGCAGGGGGCTCTTCCGTCCTAAACAGTCCCTGAAGTGACCTCAAGTCAACAGCCACCCCCAGCTGTAACGTGGTCTGTGACTGGAGTCCACCAGAGGGGAGAAGAGATATGGGGGTGGGAGACAGAACTAAGAAGCTTGATGAGTAAGTGACTTGGTGGGCACTGGCCTCCAGGGTGCATGGCCCAGCTGACCTCACTGGAACTCAGGCGCCCTGAAATGAGGACTCTGACTACAGGTGCACACGGGACTTGGTAGCATGGGTTTTCCCTTGGTTTTGTTTCTGCAGCCAGAGCACAGCTTTGACTTCGTGAGCAAGGAGATGCTAGTGCACTTTATCAGCCGCCTGCAGGCCGATGTGTTGCTGATCAAGTGAGTCTAGAACCCAGAGACCAGGAACTGCTGAGGGAGTGTACACCAGGCTAGCCCCCAATTCACAGTGATCTGCCAGTGTCTGTTTCCTGCATCCTGGGAATGCTACATTATCGTCAGGCTCATTCAGAATTTGAATTGGGAATTTTCCCAGGCTAACAACATGCTGTTGGTCTAGCCTGATCATTTCCTTTCGGTTGGTGATGGTGGCAGCGGCAACAGCAGGGAAATCTGAGGAAATTTTAGCCTTTGGCATGGGTTGTTCCTAGGATATTTGGAAGGTGGATTCATTTCTTTTTAAGTGAAATGTTCAAGTCATTATAGATTGGGAGAATATTAACACTTTATAAGTTATGGCTACCGGCAACTTCAGAACAAGGAATTGGCTGGGCGTGGAGGCTCACACCTGCAAATCTGGACTAGGGAGAGCATGGCAAGTTTGAGGCCAGCCTAGGCTGCAGTGTGCTTCAGACAGGCAGGGGGATGGTTGTGTGACATGTACACTATTCCTCAGTAGTCTTATTTGAAAGAAAAGCCTGGCCTTGAGAGTGAGTTCAGATCTCAGCTCAGCTGTCAGTGCCCCCACCTCCCACAGTACTGGAAGCTGCTCCCTGCAGCATCAGCTCGTGCTAGCCTGCTACCAGGACTAAATGACTGAACCTCAGCGGCAGTCTAGGCTCACAGGGACATAGCTGAAGGAAAACGGGAGGAACCGAGGCTTGGGCTCTTCAGGTCCTGAAACCCAGACATGGTACAGGGCTCTGTTAAGATTCAGCACAGAGAGACACCCCAACTTCTGCTTCCAGAGCAACACAGGGTTACTATGACGTGAGACGAGCCAATGATGATAATAAGGAACCCCTGCTCTTCATGGTGGACACACTAAGAACCATCCTAAAAGAGGTAAGGCATGAGCCCTGATTGGTTGGGCATGTCTTCTGTTCTGAAATCTAAGAGTCAATTGATTTGGATCCAAGTGGCCATCACTCAGTATCCAAGGAGCTGGCAGGCCTCTCCCCTCCATGGCCATTCCCCAGAAACCCAGAACACACACACACAGTTCAGCAAAGAGACAGCTTTGGTTGTCAGATCCTCACTTTGGTTTTTTTTTAAAAGACTTATTTATTATGTAGACAGTGTTCTGCCTGTATGCATGTCTGCAGGCCAGAAGAGGGCACCAGATCTCATTACAAATGGTTGTGAGCCACCCTGTGGTTGCTGGGAATTGAACTCAGGACCTCTGGAAGAAAAAAGTCAGTGCTCTTAACCTGAGCCATCTCTCCAGCCCCAGATCCTTACTTTTATTGCCCTTACCTGACCCCTGGTCCAGGCTTACTATGGGCCCAGCTCTTAGAAGACGCCCTGCACTTGCCTCCAGTGATCCTTGAACGAACACATTAGCAAGTGTGAGGCCTGTGCTGGAACCAGGATCCTCTGTAGGTCGGGGCCCTCTCTGGTCATCATCCACTTATATCGCCTAGGCCTGTATCCTTTGCACACAGTGCAATGATGCTACCAGGAAGGGGGATCTCCTATTCAGGGTGCTCTGCAGTGGGAGCTGTCCTGAAGCTGCCCTTCATGGAGATGACAGTGCTTCATGTCCATCAAAACTGGCAGGGACCCTGACTGTGACTCCCCCTTGAGCACCATAGTCTCACAGCTCAGATGCTTACATTCCTGGAACAGCCTCCAAGTCCCCAGGCTGCTGGGAAGAGAGGTTGTCCCTGACCACTTGGATGTAGTCTGTAACCTGCATTTTTCCTGCCAGCCTGGTCCCAGAGCCGAGTCCGTCTCAAATGAACATGCAGGACACTATATTAATTATGAAGCTGTTGGTTGGTTGTTTGGTTTCTTATTGGCTAGCTCTGACTTAATTATAAATCCATAACTGCTAATCTGAGTATTTCCACATGATCTTCTCTACCTGAGCAAGGGTAGGACTCCTCCTGTGTCCTACATCGTGACTCTGTTTCCCGGAATCCTCCTCAATTCCTAGTCTACCTATCTTGCTTCCCTATTGGCCAACAGTGCTTTATTAATCAACTAGTAGGACAACATATACAAAGAAGGCGCCCCTCACAGTCAGCTAAGGGAGAGTCTCCTGAGTGGGCACCATCTCACCCCCTGCCCCCTTTCTCCAGCGGTTCCAGTATGTGGAAGTCCCAGGCAATCACTACGTCCACATGAACGACCACCACCTTGTGGCTGGAGTTGTCAGCTCCTTCCTCCAGAGCCAACCCAGGACAACTTCAAGGATGTAGCTCTGGTCTTGGAGCTTGTTCACACTGTCTGTCCAGCACCCTCAGCCCACAAAAGGTGGGATGGGTCTCACTGGGCTCAAAGCCCAAGAGAGGCAGCAGAGAATCCTGGGGCTGAGCTAGGGGAAGGGGGTAAAACGTTTCTGACCTTTGATATCTGACTTCATGAAGGGGGCAGGTGAGCTGGTGACCCTGAGGGAGCAGGACTGGGCATGGGTCCCTGGAGCTGGTCCTGGTCCCAGGCTGTGTGGCAATAAAATCCTCTCCCATGTTAACTGCATTGCAGATGGCTCTGTTGCGGGCAGGGGCTGCACAGAGGGCAAAGGGCGGGAGCAGGTCAGTCAGGTTTCCCAGGTGTCTCTACAGGCTTAGGAGGAAGGAGCAGCTCTCTTTACCACATCCTCCCGTGCCTTGCACTGCCAGCCTGTAGGTGCAGAGATGGAGCTGGGGACACAGCAGCAGCTTCTTGGCCTGGTGTCTGCTTCCCAAAGCACAGTCCGTGAGGGAGCAGTCCTGCCGGTCCTTGTGTTCAAAGCCTGCTCTCCAGGGACCAGAACAGCTCAGTAGGGTCGGAATTTGCGTTGGGCACGCATCAGTTCGATCCTCTGCTTGTCCTCCTCAAACTTCTTGCGCAGCTGTGCCAGATCTGGGGGTTGAAGGGACACAGGCGAGTCACACTGAGTGCCTGTGTGGTAACTGCCAGCTGCCCCACTTAAACAGGCTCCCCCCCCCATGACCCAGGGCAACTCTGCACGTTCCCCCTCTCCCACCCCATCCCCCTCTACCCCTGCTGTGCTCTGGGTAAGTTAGGATCCTGCAGTGGAACAGAACTGCACACTTAGCTACAGCCACTCTAGGGGCTGAGGTGGGATGATGATGGGCCAGGTTCCGAGATGAAAATGTACTAGGGACAAGAGAGGCCCAGAGAAAGCAGGACTCCTACCCCTTCTCCTGCTCCCTGAGAAGAAGCATTCCCAGGACCCCTTTCCCCAGATGGAGCCTTGGGGTAGGGGACTTCAGAATCAGCAGGTAGTCACCAAGTGACCTATGTCAGAGGTGGCTCCTGCATCTCTAGGGTGCAGCTGGGGGTTCAGGACAGGGCTGGACCATGTGAGGGGTGGGAGACAGTGGGGCAGGTGACAGTGCCAACAAAGGTGGGGTGTGAAGGCAGCTGCTGAGTGCACCCCATGCTCAGGAGAGGATCAGTCCTCCTCACACCTACACAAGTGTCCAGTGAGCAGCATGTATGCTGACAGCAGCAAGAGCTTGTACTCTCACGTGGAACACTCAAGCAGGCCGCCCTGGCCCCCATTCACCCCCAGTCCTGTCCCTCAGCACTGTGTTGGGGCTGGCAGGTCCCTGCCCCTGTGCTTCTGCCCCCGGGCAAACACCATCTTTGTCTGGGGAGCAGTAGGGGCACTGTAGACAGGGACTCAGATCCTGAGCCTGTAGAGGATGTGCCTGAGGACACCCTGCTCCCTGTCCCAGATCTGTGGGGTGCCCTCAGGTGTCCCTTACGCTCCATCTTGGTCTCTCGGTGCTGCCAGGCATAGAAGTTGAGCAGCTCCTTGCGGGCACGTTTCCTTTTCTCCCTCTCCAGAACTCGCAGGCTGGCAGCTTCTGTTCGAGGGAGCACAGGCCTGCGACCCCTGCGCGTCACCTTCACCCAGCCCTCCTCATCAGGGACTCCTTCCTCCTCCTTGGCCTTGGTCTCCTCCTGCATGGAAGAGACTGTGGCTGGGCGGGGCTCTGCAGCAGCAGCAGGTTGTCCAATTGATTGCCTAGAGGCCCAGTGCTGCCCCCTGCAGTAACCACCTTGGGCACACAGTGTCTGTGTCCTGAGTGCCCACAGTAAGTGTTGAAGAACAGACACATCAATGACACTCCCTTCACCTGCAGGCCATTTAGAGTCCCTGTCACCCAGACAGGCGGTCCAGGTTTCAGCAAGAAAAACAGGAGCCTGCACCCTGCACGGTAACCAAGGAATGGCTTCCACCACCATTGTCTCACGGGCACCACACTAAACACGCAATACTTGTGGTACTGCTTCCCCATGGCCGCACACAGATAAGTGGGGGCCTTATGAGCCCCTACCTCAGCTATCTTCTTGTCGTAGGCCTCCATGAATGTGTCCACTTCGACCCTAAGGGCCTCCGGGTCGAACACAGAATCTTCATAATCACTGATCCACTCTGAGGGCGAAGGAAACACAGTGTAACATAAACTACGCTGGGAAAGCATCAAGTTCTGTTTGCACTAGATGAAAGTAGACTGTGAGGACCAGAGTTAAAAGCTTTGTTGCTCTTGCAGCAGGCCTACATTCAGTTCCAAGCTCCTACATATTGGCTCACAACCACCCCTAATGCTACTTTTGGAGATGGACCCTTTTCTGACTTCCTGAGGTGTGAGACACACAAGTGGTCCTCAAACACACAAAAGTAAAATCTTTAAAAAAAAAAGGGGGGGAAAAAAGAGAGCAGACTCTAAGAGGCCTTCCTTTGCCTCCTCTAAAACCTCTTCTGTGTCAGCCTGGATCCTTGGCTCTGTAGCAGAGGGAAAACCAAGAAGCTAACAGTCCCTGAAAACAGCAGGCAAATTACTTCCAGCAGATGGCACTATTTTTTTTTTTTGGCCAGGTCATAAAGCACTGCAGTGGGGCAGGGAAAGCAGATGCTTGGGGATGGAGGCAATCAACCTCCTAGTCCCTCTGGGGCATTCCCAACCCCCATTTGATGCTGCTCCCTGGTCTGCTCAGCCAGGCTTCCACAGCCGCAGCTGCTCCTGGGTGTTCTGATCACTGATTTGAAGGTTTTACTGTGTCTCGTGTTTGTGCTCTTCATCTTGCTGGCCACATTCTTTCTTTCTTTCTTTCTTTTTTTTTTTTTTTTTTTGGGTTTTATGAGACAGGCTTTCTCTGTATTGTTTTAGAGGCTGTCGGTCCACCCCAGCCTGGAACTCACAGAAATCCGCCTGCCTCTGCCTCCCGAGTGCTGGGATTAAAGGCGTGCGCCACCACCGCCCGGCGGCCACATACTTTCTAAACACTGATTCCAAAGCAGAGTACAGAAGGGATCAGGCTTCCCCAGATATGACCGCCAAGCGAGGATCCCCTAGCAGAGGTCCCTAAAGTCCAGAGACTCGGGGTTCAGGTGTTAAGAAGGTTCTAGTGGCAAGAGGCTATTTCCTGATGTGTCTCAGACACAGCTCTGCCAGCTCAGGCCCCTTTGGAAGAGGGGGACACAACTTGTGGCATTCAGATGCTGCCCCCACTAAGTGTCTCTCACCAACCCAAGGCCTGGGGAGGAAGCACTGGACACTGCCAGCAGTACTGACTATGAATCCCGCTCTTCACAGGGTGGCTCTCCGTAGAAACCAGCATTGGGCTCTTCAGATTCAAGGCAGCTGACACTCCACTTGGCTTCTGGAATACCACATAAGCTACCCGAAAGCCCTGTGAGGAGACATGTCAGTGTGGAGTCTTCCTAGTGTGGCATAAGGTCCCCATACCTGCCCTGGATCCCCCGATCTTAGTTTGGGTGAAGGACAGCCAGGCTCCTAGCTAGTCTACTGCTGCTGGGACAGCTGTGGACTCAGGGAAAAGCAGGCTCACTCCAGGCTAGGGTCATAAACAGACAAGGCACAAACTCAGGGTCAGACTCCCTTGTACAACAAGGACACATGAGGGACATGGGGAGAGGGGACAGGAGCAGGGCTCCTGGAGCCCAGGGCACCAGTCCTGAGGAGAAAGCTACTTTAGTGGGAGAAGGGCAGAGAGGGAAACAGGCATGAAGTCACAGAATGTGACACATCTGAGAGAATCAGAGGCCATGTCCCTAACAACCTCCTAAATCACACACTGCAGAGTCCACCCCAACAAAGTCTACTGCTGAGCCCACCCAGGCTCCACCCCTTGCCCCTACTCAGCGCCCCCTGGTGGTATTGCACAGCTTACTGGAACCGGCTTGGGATGAAAAAACTTCGACTTTGGCTCTTTAGGGCTCTCAGCAAGCTCAGGCTTCTCCTGTAACTCGACTGTCTTGATGGCACCACAGGAGGACAGGAGTCGAGACAGGCACTCCTGCCATGGCCAGAGGGAAGCAAAGCATGAACACACAGGCTCCTCAGAGCCTCAGGACACCCACAATCGCCCCAAGGACTCAGGGCCAGGTCTACACAACCCAGGCGGTCTAGGTGCCCCAACCCTGACCAGTTCCCAAGACAGCATGGAGGCAGATGTTTCTAGCCTGTGACAAAAGAGAAGTAAGGACTTTCAATGCCACCGACTTCAGATGACAACTAATCAAGCTTTCCCACTCAAATCTGAGAGACTCAACTCAGGTGTCAGGGAAGAGTATGTGGGGACGTCTTAGGTTCTGTGCCGATTACACACAGGTGTGGTCAGCTTTTGACGTGAAACAACTGTACAGGCCAGCCCTTCTCCCCCACCTGTTCTCTGGGCTGGCCTTGAACTTCTGATCCTCTGACTTATGTGGTGCTGGGGACTGAACCCAAGGCCTCATGAATGCCAGGCCAGCACCCTACCACTAGGATTTCTCTTCTCAGAAAAATAGTCCACCCCACCAGGCATGATGACACACACTGAAATCCCTGCACTCAGAAGGCAGGTGGGAGAATTTAAATTGCATTTGTTTGCGTGTTGTGTGCATGTGGATTTCATGTTACATGTGTAGAGGCGAGAGGAAACTTGCAGAAGCCAGTTTTGGCCTTCCACTATGCACATCCCAGAGATCAAACTCAGACTGTGGGACATGACAGCAAGCCTCCTTTTTAAACTAAGTGTGGTGGCACATGCCTTGTAACCCCAGAATTTGAGAGGAGGATCAGGAATTCAGGGCCAGCCTCAATTACATAATAAGTATGAAGCCAGCTCAGGCTACAAGAAACCCGATCTGAAACAAAACACAGTAGTAAAAAGCAAATAAATGTAATAGTTTCTGTGAAAAATCCTTAAGTGTGTCTAGACAGAACTGCACTTGATTTTTGGTAGATTTTCTTTAAAGCAAAAGAGAGACCAAACTAACCAGTAAACGAAAAGACCGTTGGAAGGATAATTAACTCCAAAGCCAGTGTGACCATTCCTGAACTGTAATGAGTCGAGGCGTGGCCAGCCTGGGCTACATAGTCCCAAAACAGCCAACAGGAGAGTGAGACCCTGTCTGGACGGGTACAATAAGAAATAAAAACGCTCCTGTTCTTATTCTGAGAGCCCGGGTCTTTTCAACATTCTCCATTGGGGGTGTGTCGGCATTTCCACCCGACCGTCAGATTTTGTAGCGCCCACGGCAAGCCCCCATGCAGAACCCACAGTCCCCTGCCAGGCGCTTACCTCTGTGCAGTACGGGGGCACATTGAGGACAAAAAGGGTCCTATTGGGAGGCCACGTGGACTGAGTGTCCTGGCGAACTCTGTGCTGTCTCACGTAGAGGTAATGAGACGCCTTCTGCTTTTCTGAGAACTTGACTGGAATAGCTAAAAGGGAAAAGCCATCTGTGTCACACAAGGTCCTTCTGACTCCGCCTCCCGCCGGTTCGTCCACCCGCCGCGGCCGGCGCGGGCACAGTGAGCTGCGGCCGGTTCTGACCCCTCGGGGTGCTCGCTGCCTCACAGCGTCAGCCCCTCACGCCACGCACGGCACTGGCTGTTCTGCTTGGCCTCCCCCCTCCGCCCCGTCTTCAGGCTGGGGCTGACGCTGAGCGACAGCTGCGGCCACCACACTCAGGAAGCGGACGCGAGCAGGTCAGCGGTGACAAACTCCCGCGGCAGACCCCGCACGCGGCCTGGAGGAAGCGCTCCCAAGGCCTCTCCGAGTCAGCGGCCAGAACCCGCGTGGCCTGCCGTGGCCTCCGCCACCCGCCGGCCACCGCCCTGCGAAGAGGTCAGACGCCGGCCCTCAGCTGCTCACCTGAATAACCCAGTGGGCTCGATACGCTCCCCTCGGGGCCGCACGCCCCGGCTTTCTTCTTGCGCGCCACCATCTTGTGGACCGAAGCGCAGGGATGGACGGGAGTTGTAGTTCCGCTTTCCGGCGCTGCTGTTTCCATGATGACGGCGCCACGTGGGGCTCCGCCTTCTCAGCGTTAGTCCCGCCTCCCGGATCTTGACCAGCTCCACGGTTTTTCCCTTGCCTGTCAAAGTGGGAGTGGGGTGGGATGGGGTGTTGAGGGGCAGAGGGGGAGACTGGAACGCAGGCTCGGAGGTTAACAGCGCAGACTGCTCTTCCAGAAGATCCGGGTTCCCTTCCGATCACTCACAACTGTCTGTAACCCCAGTTCCAGGGAGATCTAACGCCCTCTTCTGGCCCTGTGGGCACACGTGGTGCAGAAAGGTACAGAGATAAAACACAAATCTTTTACATAGTAGGCAGTTTGAATCGCGGTGCGACCGAGGAGTCACTGGGATTTTGAGTAGAGAGGAGTTAATTCGACTGTGAGAACAAGGGTGTGAGCGGCCTGGGGCTGAGAGACTGAGCAAAGAAGGTGGCAGTGGGTGAAGGCACTCGCCGCCAAGTCGGACACCCCGATATGTCCATATATATCCATAACTCCCGCCGGTTATCTTCTGACCTCCACTCGAACTCCATTGTCCTCCCTCACAAGTTAAAATTTCAAGCAAGCAAGCAAGCAAGCAAGCAAACAAACAAGTGTGCATGTAACCCCGGCTCGCCTGGAGCTGGAGCTAGTAGACCAGGCTGGCTTCAGTCTCAGAGAGATCCGTCTGCCTCTGCCTCCCAAGTGCTGGGATTAAAGGCGTGCACCAACCACCACGCCTGACTCTAGAATTTTAAATTCTTACAAACTTTTCCCCCCTGGCCATAGAGGAGGATAGCTGTGTATTCCAGACCATCTGCGGTTACAGTGAGACCCTGTGTCAAACCTTTTTCTTTGAGGCAGAGGTCTCACTTAGCCTACAGAGGTCTGAACACTGATCTCCCTGCCTCCATTTCCCCGAGTGCTGGGAATAACCGTGTGCGCCACCAGGGCGATTTATGTACATTGCTTCAGATGAGCACCTTAACCACCTGCGTTTATCTCAGCCCAGTTTCTCGTGTTCGACCTCCAAGTTCAGTGCTCTGTTCCTCTTTCCATCCTTTGCCTGTTATTTTAATTATAAAGGGATTTTCTTGGCTAAGACTTTCAAATTTTTGCCGGGCATTGGTGGCACACGCCCTTAATCCCAGCACTCGGGAGGCAGAGGCAGGCGGATCTCTGTGAGTTCGAGACCAGCCTGAGCTACCAAGCGAGTTCCAGGACAGCCTCCAAAGCCACAGAGAAACCTATCTCGAAAAACCAAAAGACCAAAAAAAAAAAAAAAAAGACTTTCAAATTTTCATTCAAGTATGTATTCATAATTGTCCATTATACTATTTTTATAATGGCTACGTTAAATGGCTCTTAAAGTTGGAGTTGTATCACATCTGTAAATCCCATTCTCAGGTTGGAGATGGGGGATGGCTAGAAAGTGACATTGCAAAACCCTGTCAAAAAAAAGTATGAAAATTAAGAAGCTTTTTTAATTCCATAGCCTCTGCCATCCAGGAGTAGTTGTTCATGGAAGATTTATTGATTCTTGTGAGTCATTGTCAACTGAGACATGGACATTTTGGGTATTGTATAGACTCTGGATTTATTTAAGCCTGTGTTACAGCCAGTCTGTGGCCTTTTGTCTTTTTTTTTTCCCAAAACCTTGATTCATCTACCTTAAGTTGAAAGCCTTGAGTCCCATTTTCCTCTACAAAATATTTAGGGCTTTTTAGTAGGAGCAGGGTAGTGCTAAGTACTATTCTATTCTATCCCTACCATTGAATAACTACTTTTCTGATGCCATAGCTTACCCAAAAGGGAAGTATTCCTTCAGGTGTAATTTCTTCAGAGCAAGACACCAGCTCCGTTGTTCTCTGTGAATAAATGCCTAGGCCAGTCTCATAGCTAGTTTTTTGTCAATTTGCCACAGCTAGTTATCTGAAAGGAGGGAACCTCATCTGAGAAAATGCCCCCAGAAGATCCAACTAAATCCCAGCACTTTCGAGGCAGAGGCAGATGGATCTCTAAATTTGAGGCCAGCCTGGTCTACATAGTGAGTTCCAGGACAGCCAGGGATATACAGAGAAATCCTGTATATCCAATAAATAAGTTTGCAAAGTTAAAAAAAAAAAAGTCAGGTGGTGGTAACATACACCTTTAATCCCAGTACTTGGGAGGCAGAGGCAGGTGGATCTCTGTGAGTTCTAGGCCAGCCTGGTCTACAGAGGGAGTTCCAGGTCATCCAGAAGTACACACTTGCCTCAGCAAAACAAATAGAAAGGCAGGCTTGCTCTCTGGCGTAAGTCCACCAAAGTCATTGGAGGTTTAAATGAGAAACGTCCTCCTCGGTTCATGTATTTGGTGCTGTCTGGGAAAGCTAGGGGACCTTTCAGGAGACATACGCTTGCTAGAGGAAGTACACATAGGGTGCAGGCTTTGAGAGCTTGGTCTCGCCATGACCTACTGTTTCCTGTGTGGATGAAAATGTCATTGGCCAGCTGCCTGTTCTTACCTTTCTTGCCATAACAGACTATGTCCCTCTGGACCTGTAAGCCAAAGTCAACCCTTTCTTCCTTGCTTTCGTGTTTTACCTCAACAACAGAAAACCATGTAACCCAGCAGAGTGTACTTTAATAAGTGTGACCACTATTTTGTGGGCGTTCGGACTCTGGGCAGGACAAAGTGCTTAATGTTGAAAGCAGAGCTTAATGGTGGGAACCTGGAAGATAATACTCGAGAAATGTGAAGAGCAGAGGCCTGGCTTGTGAGCTTTGGGGGGGGAGGGATGAGGATTCTTTATCAGAACCACGGCTAGGGGCCATTCATGCCTGCATTCTGTCCATGTCCTGAGGCTGAATTTTCAAAACTAACAAATTTATTTGGCAGAGAATCAGACACTGAGTCTATGGCATGGTTATCCATGGTTACTCTCATTCAGGTCTACACAGCAAGTAGGGCAGAAAGAGAGAGGAACTTGGAGAGGAACAGCTCCAGAAGCCTGTGCTGTAGCCCAGTCATGGCTGAAAGAGGCTGTAACTTTCAGGTTAGTGCAGGGTCTCTGGGTGCCACGGGCTCTGCACCCACAAGACCACTCCCTGCTCAGCCTCCAAGTGTGAGAGGAGAAAACAAAGTGGTTTCCTGCACATAGAAAGCAAGTGCCTGGAGAAGTTAACAGCTTCTTCCTTCCACACAGAAGCTGCCAAGGGCCAGGGCTCAGACCTGGAGTATCATTCATGTAGTGCTGGCGTGTGTGGCAGAGTTGGAATGCAGCGAGGATACAACTGTTAGTGAAGCCTGGGTTGCATTAGACCCCAAGATGATGGAGATACCAGAGCCACGTACATGTGGCAGAAAGCTGCATACAGGAAGTGCAACAGGCCAGTTGTTACAGACAGCAATGCCGGAGGGGCAGAACTATCTAAACCCTCTGAAAGGAAGCCTCCATCACTGGGACACAGAGCTCCAGGATTTGGTATTTGTACTGCAGCATTTTGATCTTGCTTTGGGCCAATCATTCCTCCCTTTTAGAATGGGAATGTGCATTCTGTGACATGTTAGAAGCATATAATCTTTTTTGATGTTAGAGGGTCAGTTAAGAATTTGCCTAGAAGCCAGGCAGTGGCGGTGCATGCCTTTAATCCCAGCACTGGGGAGGCAGAGGCAGGCAGATCTCTGTGAGTTCGAGGCCAGCCTGGTCTACAGAGCGGAGTTCCAGGACAACCTCTAAAACAATACAGAGAAACCCTTATCTTGAAAAACAAAAAGAATTTGTCTTGAGGTTAAAGAGATGACTCAGCAGTTAAACACCCCCCCAAAAACACACACACACACACAGATTATAGCCCAGGGTCAGCCTTACGCCTAATAAACTGAGTTTCATCCATGGAATCCATATGGTGGATACTAAGAATGAGTTCCCAGTGGACCCTTGAATACTACACATGCATCATGAATGCACACACACACACAGTAAATATAGTAAAAAAAGACACTATAGCTCAACGTTAGGAATAACAAACATTTATTGAGAAATGGAAAGTAACAAGCCCTTCCATCCCACAATGTCGTTCTCTCCTGAACAAGACACAAAGAAGTAATGCAAGGGAGGGAGGGATGCAAGGGAGGGAGGGACATGAGGGTTGGCCCACCTTTTCTGTTTCCCAAGATGACATTGTATAATGCAGGGGAGGCACCCCACGCACACAAAGTAGCACATAGCCAGGAGGCTGAGGCTGACTCAGTTCAACGGTGCTGTTCAGAGCATGTATGGTTCAAAAAGAGCAGGAGAACCACGAAAGGCCTAGGCCATCCATACACTACACAAAGCAAAAAGCGTGACAACTGTTCCCACAGCCAGAAAAGTCAGGCCCTATGTCTTCCGGTGTTCTCTTGGACCAGGAAGGGTGAAGCATGGAGGAATGTGTTCTATTTGCTGAAAAGAATTAAGTTTGTACCTATTTAGAAGGGTTTAAGAGAAGCAGACTTCTTTGAACAGTAAAGTGAAGCACCCCAGATGCCATTCCTGGATCCCTTGGCTGGGTGCCCTCAGAGCTCTTGGCTCAAACTAGACACTTCTAGCTGGGCAGATCAAACTCCAGAAGATAAACTAATTGAAGTTCTCTTTACTGGGCTAGCCCTGAAGGGTCATGGTGTCTCAGCTTCCTTTACCAATGTGTGTGCTATGAGAGCTTAGAATCTCCTGTTCCCATTGTCAGAGGACTATTGCCCAGCTCTGGAATGGTGCTGCTTGATACTCAGCACACGCCTAAGTTCCATAGTTCTGAACTAACAGCCTAGGAGCATGCTGTAGAAAATAGCCCACCAGCTTGCCTGGTAGGCCATGTCTACTCTCAGACCACTCATGGCAGTGAGGGTCACTTACACGAACAGAGACAATGCCAGGGTGGCAGATGCACTTTGGGTAATCCTGACTGCTGTTCTGTAGATAACTGAAGCCAGAAAGGCAGAGCTAGAGGCAGCCAACAGCTCCCACTCAATCAACCTCTTGAAAGCCCACTGTAGAGTCTAGAAAAAGGCCCAAACAATTTGGAGCTGCTACCTGCACCAAAACCAGGTTGTGGTTTTGCCCTGTCAGATGAGAACCAAGAGGGCTTAAAAGCACAGGTCCCTGCCTGTGCTCCTATCTAGAAGCAGAGAATTGGACCAAGGCCTTTGGCACAAGTCTAACAAAGGAACATGAACTCTGGGAAATCCTTTTGAGCTGCCCAAGACAACACAGGCAGCTAGGAGCTGGCAACACAGTCAGTCACCCTACCTGCCCCCGTCACAGAGCTCCCCGAATTAGGAGACAGGTTGATGATGATGGTGGTGAAAAGACAAGAGTCAGTGACCTAGTGCAGCTCCCCGCTGGTCTACTGTCCACCAAATGGCAGGAGGTCGTCCCAATCATTCCATTGTTTTGTTTGTAAAACTTCAACAGAACAAGAAAACTCCTGAAAACCAAACAAAAAAAGCAGCCTCTCCAACAGCTCCAGTGCCCTGAGTCCCACGGCTACCCAGGGAAACAGTACACCATTTCTAGGAAAGAAATCAGCTTGGGGCCAAGGGGAGGGGAGACACACAGACAAACACAGCCTACCTTGAGGAGTGGAGGAAAGAGGAAGACACACAATAGAAATGTAACACAGAAGGGCAAGGTATGGAACAATACAGAAAGGTGGGTCCCATCCAGTGAGGAAGCTCTCCCTGGTGCCTTGACCCTTGCTCAGGGGGCTTCAGTCCAACGGCCCATTGGTCACAAGCTTTGCCTAGGGAAACAGAGCCACCCTCCACTGCCCTGTTTCTGGCTGCCCCACTCCCTTCCTCAAAGTTTGATTTTGAATTCTGTGGGCTGTGTGGTCACAGAGGCCCCCGAGGACTTGAAGAGAGCTTTGAGAATGGTGTCAGGATCCACTTCAGCAGGAGGGTTGGAAGAGGAGGCAGCATTCCCCCGCCGAGGCAGCTCACTCTCCTTCTTCACTGAGGGGCTGTCACTCAGCCGCCTGTGAGGGCAGAGAACCAAAACCCTGTCAGTTTCTCCTTAGGTGGGGCTCTACCTCACTACTGAGCATCTGTTGGAAGCTGGGCATGGAGTGTAATGCTCTCCACATCTTGGAGGAGACCTGGATGCAGCCTGCTGAGTGTGGGAGTTTCAAGTCTAGAAATACCACAATGTTCTTCTGGATGGTCACACATTACACAATCTTTCAAAGTCTAACCTAATCCAACCACATTCATGCTGGTTAGCCCAATGACTTCCTAATCTATCAGGTCATAAAAACCTTCAATGTTTTTATTTTTTAAATTTTAAACCATGTTTACATGTGTGTCAGTGCATGTGAGGGCAGGTGCTCACGGATGGTTTTAAAATGCCCAACATGGGGAACCAACCCTAGGTCCTCTGCAAGAGTAGCATGCACTCTCATTACTGAGCTGTCTCTCCAGTTCCTCTCCAAAACACCTCTAAAGCACAACCTATTCCTGACAGTTTTACAGACTTGTCTGATCATTGTCCATTACCCAAGTTCAAATCCTGCCTTTACATGTTCAAGTCTATTCTAGGTTTGCCTGGCAAAAATTCCATCTACCTTGGCAAGTCTCACCTTCTCCTTGTGTATATCGTCCCTTTTCAAGAAAGTTCTATCCTGCCAGCCTCACATCTCAGGCTCCAGTAAGTCAGGCACATGTGCCCAGGAGCGCTACAGCACCAGCTCAGCACAGTTACTGTTCACCTCACACAGAGGGGAGAGGACTGGTTTGCTGGACACCGTCATATTAGTGCACCGCATTCAGACCCTGGGAACAGGCTGAGACAAGCCCCATGGTTCTAATGTAAGCATCCTGGTTGACCACTGAGGATCGGGCAGAGGGAATGGAATGGAGAACAAAAGCAGCTGTGATGAGGCGCTTTAGCCTCAGAACAGAAGAGGTGACTATGCAGAATAAACAAGCTGAGACCCTGCTCCAGCCTGTCCCCCTTGGCACTTACAGCAGGATGGGCTGATCTGAGGTGATGACATTCCCATTCATGTGAAGGTTGCACTTCATGGGTTGCCCTGGAAACCAAAAAAGGAAAAGTCTACATCAAGAGACCTGTTCCTCATAGAAGGACAAAGGTCACCACCACCATGACCAAGGGTCACTCGAGTCAGACATGGTGATCCAGCTCTGAAACGTAAGTATTGAGAGACGCAGACAGGAGGATCCCAAGTTTGCAGCCAGCCTGGAGTACCTCGTGTGGAACAAACAGAAGCTATCTAGCATGGAGGTCTGGGGGCAGCTAACTGGCCATTTTCTGAATGTGCACCCTCTAAGACTATGAACTCTGACCTATACCTTAGAACACACTGACTCTTTCACCTACGAGATCCCAGAATCTCTCCCCATCTCCATGCTTACTCTTGCTAACACACGCTTCATGTCTTGTGAAACGTGTGATCCTAAGTATGGTGTACTGCATTAACGAGAATAGGCCTGGTTCAGTAAGTCCTTGCCTAAGCCAAACCAATGCTAGTGCTGCCTCTGAAAACCCAAATGAACCTCTTTTCTATGTAAGAATATAGCTTCAAGTATTTCATCACAGCAACAGAAAACACAGGAACACATGTAGACACTAAGGAAGTCTGAGAGTGTAAGGGACCCTCAGTAATGAGACCAGGAAGCAACTCTGCTTCACACTGGAGTCGGTGACTGTAGGATGGGGAAGGAACTGTGCAGTGAGAAGCCACTCAAACAGGTTTGTGAGGTACACAGTAAGGAAAACCATTTATGCTATGACCATACGCAAAACAGATTTAAAGATGTATGTGAGGCTTTCCCCTGTCCATAGAGGATCAAGTGCTATGAGGCTCACTCCCACTGTGTGAGCCATGATGTGCAGAGAACAGAGCTGAGAGCATTTCTGTACCCAAGTCAAGTTACTAACCTGAAACAGGTTCTGATAAATTACAATGTGCACTGCAAGCTCTTGAACAACCATAAAGAAAATGATTCAAAATACACACTCAACTCATTCAAGGAACCAAACATCTGATTATTAGTAGTACATGTGGGTGGATCACTGAATCCACTTAAAGGAAAGCAAAGGTGAAACTGGACCGAATCCATACTGCTGACCTCAGGCACAGCCCACTGCACCATGCACTGCACTACAGTGCCTTGAAGGGCTTATCCCCCTTCCTTTCTCCAAACTGAAGGCTCCTAGTACCCTAATGAATGAGGTTATCAGGGCCACTTTTGCAAGAGCAGTGCTCACTCTAAGTCTCTGTCACTTTTTTTTTTTTTTTTTTTTTTTGGTTTTTCGAGACAGGGTTTCTCTGTGGCTTTGGAGGCTGTCCTGGAACTCGCTTTGTAGACCAGGATGGCCTCGAACTCACAGAGATCCGCCTGCCTCTGCCTCCCGAGTACTGGGATTAAAGGCGTGCGCCACCAACACCCAGCCTCTGTCACTTTTTTGTTTGCTTGTTTGTTTTGATTTTTCAAGACAGGGTTTCTGTGAGGCTTTGGAGTCTCTCCTAGAACTCACTCTGTAGACCAGGCTGACCTTGAACTCACAGGGATCTGACTACTAGGATTAAAGACACGTGCAACCTCCGTCAGGCCTCTGTCATGTTTTGGTGATTTTGCCCTACCTGGAGCTGTCTCAGTGTTATCACATCTGTCCTGTGATACAGTAAGATATATCAGAAGTGTGTGCTCTGGTTGCCCCACTGACTAGCCATTCCTGTCTCTTTCTAGCCTGCCTATTCCTTGAAACATATCACTGAAATCAGACCAACAATAACCCTATGAGTTTGTCTTGTTTGAGAAAGGTCCAACTGTATAGACTAGGCTGTCCTGTAACTATGCAGCCCAGGCTAGACAGTCTGAGCTATGATTTAGAAATGGTCACAGGAAGGGAAGAACTGTACATCTAGTCAATGCTGCTAGTTAAAGGCACAGGCTGGAGCTGAGGCTCAGGAGGAAGGTGTTTGCTTAGCATGTGTGAGCCCTTTGGTTGGATCCCTAGCACTGGGGGGAAGGGGGAGGATCGGATCACAAAATGAAATTATGCCTAGTGGTGCATTACTTGTAATCCCATCCCTTGGGAGGTAGAGGCAGACTGAGTTAGTATTTGTTGTTTGCAAACAAATACCACCACCCCCATCAAGAAAAAGGAATAGTGTGGTGGGGGACAGAGAGACAGACAGAATACCCTGTAGAATGAGAGGAAATAACTGTACACCATTTACCTACTCAAAGACCTGACCTACACATTAAATGAAACACTCTTGTGCGTGTGTAAGGGTGGGCATGGGTGCACATGGAGGCCAGAAGTCAGCATCGGTGTCTTCCTCTACACTCACCTTATTAGTCATTTAATGTTTACTGTGGACTTACTTGAGACAGGGTCTCTCACTAACTGGCTAGCAAACCTAAGGATCCATGATAAGGGTTGTCCTTCTGTATATGTTTCTCTTACTGGTTGATGAATAAAACACTGTTTGGCCAATAGAGGCAGGAAGATAGGTGGGACTAGGAGACGAGGAGAATTCTGGGAAAGGTAGGCAGAGAGGCACCGCGAAGAGTGGCCATGTAGTTGAGAAAGGAGTAACAGGTCCAGGCATTCTCTGGTAAGCCAAGACCATGTAGAAATACATTGATTACTAGAAATGGGTTAATAACCAAGACAGAGCTGGTCAATAAAAAGCCCTAGCCATCGGCTAATAGTTTTGTAACTAATATAGCATCTCCATCTGTTTATTCGAGGCTCAAGGATGGTGGGACCTGGCAAGACAAGAAAACTCTAGCAACAGATCCACCTGTCCCTGTACCAACAGCTGTGGTATTGCAGAAGCATGTGAACTTTTATATGGGTACACAGAACCTCAACTCAGGTCCTTATGCTTGCACTTAACCCACTGAGCTCTCTCCCTAGCCTTGTGATTATCTGAAGAACCTTTACAACTCAGGATTTAAAAAATAAAAATAAAATAAGAGAATCCAGCCAGCACGCCTTCAATCCCAGCACTCAGGAGGCAGAGGCAGGCAGAGCCAGCATGGTCTACACAGTGAGTTCCAGAACAGCCAGGCTACACAGAGAAACCCTGTTTCAAAAACCAAAAAGGAATCTAACTATAAACTGAAGAGACATTTCTCTAGAAGATACACACATGGCAGATAAGCACATGCAAACCAGAGTGCCAAAGCTGTCTATTATTCTCTGCTTCCGTGACCTAGTCCAGTGCCCTAGTCCTCGGCTGACTCTTACCACATACACAATGAGCAACTGGAAAGGAGCATGGCACAGAACTCCTTTGACTATTTATCTTGAGACATACAAAGATAGCAGTTTACTCAGTGGTAAATCTCAAGCAGAAGACAACATACAGCCAAGACTCCAGGCCTCTGAAAAACCTGTGTCCTAGCAAGCCCAAATGTGAAGTCTGGCTTTCCCAGTAAGACCCTGAAGATACTCAGCCACAGAGTGCACATCACTGCCTCTTCCTGTTACCCAGAAGGTTGCAAGGGAGTGAGCTCCCCCATCTTTACACCAACCTCAGAGGACAGCTCACCCCAAAAGCCTACTGCTTAAAAACAGAGGAGGACATGGTGACAGCTCCCCTCTAACTTACCGTCCAGACATCGGTTGTTGTACTTCTTGTATGCAGTGATGGCATCATCCTTCTTCACAAAGACAACCTCTGCTACCCCAGGATGGACCAGTCGGGCCCGCTTGAGGGCTCCACACACACAGAAAAGCTCCTGCAAAGGACAAGTGAGGTTGGGAGGGAAACCCTGACCCCCTGCCATTCACTCTCTCGGAGGACTACTCTGCAGGACTTCTTTCTCTGCTGATATTCTTGGCTTGCAGTGCCTGGAACATCCCAGGAAGTCACCCCCAAGTTCTCTCTGTGCAGTTCAACAGTGTTTACAGTTATGGAACTTCTGAGAGCTCTGTGTTAGAACAGGTGCCCAGCATTATCAAAGAACTTCCAGAGCACAGGCTCATTAAAAGCAGCAGCCAATGCAGCCCAGGGAGGGAGACTGTTGGAACTATGAAAGCTGGTGTTCTGCTGAGGGCGACTGAGAGTCATGGGCTGTTTGTTTGGTGACAGAGGAGTTCCCAGGACATGACACAGGACTCTGGCACAGAGAGTGGGTGCTGCTTTCTACCAGCTGAGTGATCACTTCTCTTGGGCTGTGTCCTCTTAGATGGCTTCCTGCTCCAGCCTTTGGGATGCTCATTAGCATTGTGAGCTAAACACCCAGCTCCAAGTGAAATCATTTTTAAAGGAGCGCTTTGTATATACTGTCTTCATTATCTAATCATCTCATCTTAGGGAGGGAGGCAGAGGCCAGAGAGGGAGGTGGAGATGTATGAGAGGGCCCAATTAGAACTTAAACCTTATTTCTTTTCTTTTTTCTTTTTTTCTGGGAAGGGGGTAGTTCAACACAGGGTTTCTCTATGTAGTTCTGGCTGTCCAGGAACTCGCTCTGTAGACCAGGCTGGCCTCCAACTCAGATCTGCTTGCCTCTGCCTCCCAAGTGCTGGGATTAAAGGCATGCACCACCAGAAACCAACTTACACCTCATTTTTTACCTGCCACTCACTTCTATGCCGAGAACAAAAAGGTTAATGACAAGATCTCTGAAATTATTTCACTATGTACCCCTAGCTGACTCTATAGACCAGGCTGGCCTTAAACTCAGAGATCCACCTGCCTCTGCCTCCCAGGGCCACCAAGCCTACCTGGCCCTACTGCTGTTCTTTTAATGTCACTTGTCTACACAAAAATTGAAATATTTATTACTGAGAAAATATTCTGAGTTTTATTTTCCACTTGTGTCTTTTCAAAGATCTTTCACACAAAGTACCTGGCACAGAGGAAGTACTCAGTAAGTGGTAATTACTGTTGCGTATTACCTAGACTGGTCTTAAACTTCTGATGCTTATAGTTCAACCCCCCTGAATAGCTAGGATTATGAACAGAAGCCATTTCAGTTCATTGTTACTTTTTGTTTGTTTTTGGTTTTTTGAGACTGTGTTTCACTGCGTAACCCTGGCTGCCTTGGAACTCACTCTATAGACCAGGCTGGCCTCGAACTCACAGAGATCTGCCTATCCCCCCCCCCCACTACTTTTTTTTTGAGACAGAATCTCTCTACATAGACCTGGCTGTTCTGGAATTTACTATGTAAACTATGCTGTCAGAGATCCACCTGCCCCTACTTCTCAAGTGCTGGGATCAAAGGTGTGCACCACCACACCCGACCACATCCAACCACACTACCACTTTTATAATCAGGAAAGAAGTGTCAAATCTTTATAGCTCTCCATGTCTTAACTACAGCTAGCTTGCTTGTAAGCTCTCGGGTGCACACTTTTATGCATGTGCTCTGTGTGTCTGTCTGTGTGTGTACCACCAGCAACACTGTCTGATAAAGGAGAAGGGGAAGGCCTCTTAGTTCTAAAGTTGTCCACACAGCACTCTGGACTTCAGTTACCCAGCAACAAATACGTTGGTTACAGGAGGAGCTGTCAGAATCTGAGATCTGGCTGCAGGGCACAGTCGGAGTCTTCAGCTGTGCTCATTTTATCACCTGACAGCCCAAAGGGTGCTTGGATTTTTAAATAAATAGCTCTGCTGAGGGGCCTAAAACCCGTGCTGAGTGAAAAGAAGTACTGGCTGCTCCCAGGCTCACATTTACCAGGCACCCAACAGTCAGGACAAGAAGGCACACTACAGAGGTCACCCACCAAACCCTGCCAAGCCATCTTGCTCCGTGAGAAGATGGAATCGTTAAGCTCCCAAAGATTCAAGGGAAAACACCAACCAGCAATGCTGTACAATGACAATGCCCCTAGGCTCTTATGTTTGAATGCCTGCTCCCCAGTTGGTGGAACTGTTTGGGAAGGGTTAGGAGGTGTGGCCTTGTTGCAGGAGTTGTCTCTGACTTTGAGGTTTCAAAAAAGTTCACGCTATTCCCAATATTTGTTCTTTCTGCCTCCTCCTTGTGGACCAAGTTCTGAGTTCTCAGCTGTTCCTGCTGTCATGCATTTGCCCCACCACGTGGACTCTAACCTCTGAAACTCTAAGCCCCATATTAAATACTTTCTTGCTGGTTGCTTTCACAACAGGAAAGTAACTAAGACAGGTATGGGAGGGACCTTCTTAGTCCTGTCGTGAAGGACACTCCAGACTGGGCAGGGTGTTATTTAGAGCCAAGCAGAAGAGAGCAAACAGCTGCACCAACCTGTGCTCTCAAAGGCTGCCTTCAAGGCTTTGGCCTCATAAAGACCACCTATCTCTGCCACTCAAGACAGACCTGCTGAGGTCATGTGAGGCCTCTGGCTGGTGCCCAAAAACTGGGCCTTCCAACACTTGTAGCTAACAGAGTAGCTCACCAGCACCACACTGTACATAATATGGTTTATTGTTTTATTTCTGCACTGTTATCCTAACTTGTTGGGGGAGTAGGTCCCCATCCTGTTACCCTACTAGGAGTCAATACCTGTTTCCCTAACTCCACCTTTGGTGATTTGGTCCTGTATCCTTGGGGGTAAAAAAATCTGCCCTGGGCACACCCATCCTTTGGTTCCAGCACATCATTAACTGATGTGGTCCTATAGATTTGTACCATAGAAGCAACCTGGGACTTAAAGGCCGGGTAGTTGTGATGGTACTTACAACAATGTCCTCCTCGGTGACTCGAGGGTGCAGATTATTCACAGTCATCTTGGTACCTTCCAAGGGGCTGAGCACAGGCTGCCATAGAGACAAGAATATGACAAGGGGTCAAAAGGCAGCATGCAGTAACACAAACTCACTCAACAACTGACCAGGAAGGCACAGCAGAAACTCCATTCTGAATCCACCTATCACACTGGGCCTCTTGGATTATACAGGCCACCAGACTCCGGCTACTTCCTATGTGCAGGCCCTTCAGACCCAAGCCTCTGCATGGAATGTATACATGCTTCCAGACTCAGTCATGGCAGGCTTAGTCATGACATAGGCTTAAATTCCTGAGAGGCACAAGACATTTCCTTAAGGTTTTCAGTAGCTTTCTTCTGGGACCCTCAGGCCATCTCTCTCCAAGGGTCCTCACTGGCCAGCAAGTTTACTGTGTACAAGGGTCCCCAGGTAGTAGCTTATTCATTTGCAGAAAGGGATGGTTAACATCCCCCTCATGGGGGGGGATTTCAAGGACCCATGGGGTACACATAGCACAGCGACCACCCACACAGGCTGATACTGGCTGAAGTAGTAACTCACCTCAGCAGGGGGCAGCTCTTTGGGAGGCTCTTCCTTGTTCACCAGCGTCCGAGACATGTTGGTCAAGGCTTTGGTTCGAACAGAGGAAGGAAGAACAGGAGCTGTGTAGGCATCATTCTGAACCACTTTTGTGAGAGGGAGGGCCTTGGACATGGACAGCTTGGAACTGCTCAGTCCAGTCTACACAAACAGGCAGAAAGGAGTCTGAGAAGCAGAGACACAGACTTTTGTTTTGTTTTTAGAGGCAGGATTTCTCTGTGCAACAGTCCTGGCTGTCCTGGAACTCAATTTGTGGTCCAGGCTGACCTCGAACTCACTGAGATCCACCTGCCTCTGCCTCCCAAGTGCTGGGATTAAAGGCGTGCGCCATCACCACCTAGCAAGCTGGGCTATGTTGAATAGGTTCATCCACTCTCTCTGTGCTGCTTCCTTATCATAAACACAAATTCATGTCACAGAGAAGGAGAAATCTTATATAAAATTACTACAAGCACTGTTTTTCTAACTGGAATTAGCCATGGACTAAGCCAGCAGACAGGCAGGCAAACCCAAACAGTCTAATTACTAGAAAGGCTTCTTCCCTTTATATAAATGAACTGGCAACATTCAACTTCACAACCACTGAAGAACTTAAATTAGTAACCAGGAGATTGCTTCACACTTTGGGATCGTGGGCCAAAGCTGAGCCTTTGCAGCAGGACTCTCCTCCAGCTCCCAGACACTGCTTTCTCACTTCTCTGCATGATGTCTGACATTTCCAGATACAGACCAGCTTTTCTTGACTTGCCAACAAACTTCTACTGCTTAGTTTACCCAGTCTGTCGTACTGTTTCAGCAGCAGAAAATGGACTAAGACACAATTCCCTTCAAGTGTCTCAAACCCAGCCCCTTGAAATGGCAGCTCTTCATTTCCCTGCTGTGGGAGCTTGAGCAAAGTCCTGGACACCCCAGGACATCTCAGCAATGATAAAGCCAGGGAGCTGGCTAGTTATGGCTCTAAAAAATATCTCATAGTCAGAATCAATGAGAGGCTCTTTTCTCCACAACCTCATCCACCCACTAGGCCTGACGCAGAGTACCATACCATGTGATGGACAAAGCTGCCTGTAGCTGCAAACTTCATCTGTTTAGTAGGAACAGGTGCTGCAACGTCATCATCTTCATCTAGGTCATATAAGTTCTGAGAATAAAGAAACAGTAGCTGGGCTAGCGATGTCACTCAGTGGTGATTCCCTAACACCCAAGAATAAACAAATCAACCAGATGGATAAATGCTAATATGGTATGAAGGCCCTCAACAAACATCTGAACCAAAAGCTGAGAAATCCTGCTGCAATGAACAAGGAACTAAGGAAGGAGGTGGACCACATGAAACCAGGAGCCAGGGGAGACTTGGGACTCAAGTCCATACAAGGTAACTCCTACTCACAGAACTCAGTAAAAACTGCTAAAAAGGGGCTGGAGAGATGGCTCAGAGGTTAAGAGCACTGACTGCTCTTCTATTGGTCCTGAGTTCAATTCCCAGTAACTATATGGTGGCTCACAGCCATCTACAATTCAGTCTGGTGCCCTCTTCCGGTATGTATGCAGAACACTGTATATGTAATAAATAAATCATTTTTTAAAAATTGCTAAAAAGAGCCGGGCGGTGGTGGCGCACGCCTCTAATCCCAGCACTCGGGAGGCAGAGGCAGGCGGATCTCTGTGAGTTCGAGGCCAGCCTGGTCTACAAGAGTGAGTTCCAGGACAGCCTCCAAATCCACGGAGAAACCCTGCCTCGAAAAAACAAAAAAAAAAAAAAAAAAAATTGCTAAAAAGGATGCGAAATTATTTTTTGGTAGGAGTAATCCATGTAGCCCAGCGTGGCTTGAAATTCAATCCTCTTGTCCCTAGCCTCCCAGGTACTTAACACAAGACAAGAAATATCATTTTCTGTTTTTGTTTCTTTGACACAGGGTTTCTCTGTGTAGCTCTGGTTGGCTGCCCTGGAACTCACTCTGTAGACCAGGCTGGCTTCGAACTCAGAGATCTGCCTGACTCTGCCTCTCGAGTGCTGGGATTAAAGGTGTGTGCCACCACCGTCTGGCTCAGAAGTATCTTTTTATAAGTAGCAAATGCTTATCCAGAATCTCATATTCAGTTAATGATACAGTCTGAGAAAAAATGTCATTGTGGGGCAACAAAGTATACTTACAGTATTTACACAAGCCTAGATGGTAAGATGGTAGAGCCTACTACATAGCTAGTCTGGAATATGCCACTGTATGCAGTCTATCACTGAACACAAAGCTACTGTGAAGTACATGATTATGCATCATCTGGCTTGGAAAGGCATTCCAGAGTCTGGTCTGTAGGAGTAAGCATAACCCTACAGAGAATTTTATCCCAAATGTATACACAGTAGAGTATTTCTAGTAGGAAAAAAAAATGTCAAATCAATAATTATCCAGTTTTTAAAGATTTTTATATAAATTTGAAAATTATGAAAAAAAATCATTACAAAATTGGGTGATAATATAACCTTAATTCTACTTAGTAAGTATTAAACAAGAGTAACAACAGAAATAAATGAAAAAACAGGAGGGCTAGAGTGCTTCAGTGGTCCAGTACTTATCTAGTACCATAAGGCCCCAAGTTTCATCCCAGCACATCAAAAACAGAACAGCAGCAAAAGGGGCAGTTAGAGAGCGCTTGCTACTCTCTAAGAGCTGGGTTCAGTTTCTGGCACCCACATGATGGTGAAATTCCAGTTCCGGGACCTTCTTCTGACATCCTCAGCACCCAGCATAATAAACAGTACACATGCAAACACACACTGATATATACTTTTTTAAAAAAAGATTTATTATATATAGTATTCTGTCTCCACACCAGAAGAGGACACCAGATTTCATCATAGATGGCTGTGAGCCACCATGTGGCTGCTGGGAATTGAACTCAGGACCTCTGAAAGAGCAGCCAGTGCTCTTATCCTCTGAGCCATCTCTCCAGCCCCAATACTGATACACATTTTAAAAACAAACAAATGAGTTGGGTGTTGGTGGCACATGTCTTTGATTCCAGCACTCGGGAAGCAGAGGCAAGTGAATCTCTGTGAGTTTGAGGCCAGTCTGGTCTACAAAGTGAGTGCCAGGACAGTCTCCAAAGCAATACAGAGAAATTGTGTCTCAAAAGAAAACTAACAGGAAGGAGCTACAGTAGTCAATAGTTCCTGGCTTGGTGAACAGGTATATGAAGGGTGTTTTTCTCCATTAGATACATGTAATGTTTATACTAACAAACAATTCAGTTTTCCTGTCTTCTACTGCCCTTTATGCCTCTGCTTTCTCAGTAAGAAGTTTCTTTCCAGAGGCTCGGGTGGAGATGCTGAGATGGTACACAATACCAAGTCCTGGGTTTCATCTGCAGCACAATACACCAGGAAGGTGGAGGCAGGAGTATCAAATGTTCTAGGGGACTGGAATCCAGCCTGTCTACAGGAGATCCTGTCTCAAAAAAATATTTCCTTTTGGAGACAAGGTCTCCCCCTACATAGCTGAGGCTGTTCTAGCTCTTGTGACCTCCTGACTCTGCCTCCTTGGTTACACCTATACCATGCCTGAATCTTTCTTTTTTAAGTTTTGTTTTTGTATTTTGAGGCAGGGTTTCTCTGTGTAGCTTTGGCTGTCCTGGAACTCATTCTGTAGATCAGGCTGTCCTAGAACTCATAAGAGATCCACCTGCCTCTGCCACAGGAGTGCTGGGATTAAAGGTGTGCCACAAGGGCTGGAGAGATGACTCAGAAGTTAAGAGCACTGGCTGCTCTTCCAAAGGACCCAGGCTCAATTCCCAGAATCCACATAGCAGTTCATAACTATCTGCAGGGGACATACCTTTGTCATATGGACATACATGCAGGCAAAGCCCAATGAGCAGTAAATAAATAGATAATTAAAAGAAAAAAAAGTGTGTGGTACCACCACCTGGCTGTTTTTTTTTCTTTTTTCTTTTTTTGGCTGTTTCTTTTTTAAAAACAAGGTCTCATTCTGTACCCAGGCTGTCCTGAACTCACTATATAGCCCAGGGCTCAAATTCTTGGGCTCTGGCCCAGTCTCCAAGTACTGAGATTACAGGTGTAAACCATGTCTCCAAAGATGTCACTGCTTCTTTTTCTGCATTAGTATCTCATTATGTAGAACAGGCTAGCCTCAAACTCAGAGAGATTCACCTGCCTATGTTCCCTGAGCTCTAGGATTAAAGGTATGCCATCACACCTAGTACAAGTTTCCTCTTAAAACTCACAGACTCCAAAGTGAAAACCTCCTTCTAACACTTGGAAATAGGAGCTGTAGGCCAATCCTCAGTTGATTTACCCAAGCAGAGACCTCATCATCAAAACACAAAATACACACATACACACTCAGGTATGGAGGTGTGGGGTCTCTCTCCTCTCTCTCTCTCTCTCTCTCTCTCTCTCTCTCTCTCTCTCTCTCTCTCTCTCTCTCTCTCTCTCTCTCTCTCTCTCTCTCTCTCACACACACACACACACACACACACACACACACACATTCTACCTGTTTGGCCTGGTGGTTATTGACAACACTGATCCTCATTCCAGCAGGATGAGCATGAAGTGGCACCATGGCCTTTTGCTGTGGAACCTAGAAACATCCAGTGGTCATAATCCATCCCAGAAGGTTCAAGTGCATTCTAAGTAGGTCCATGAACTTGAAATATGTTGGCATGTGCAAATATCAGCCAGGGTCAAGCAATAATGGACCTAAAGAGCTTAATGAACTTGGCTCAGTCAATAACTGGTGCTATCCCTGTAAACAAAGCTAAGGCAGATTAAATGCTGTTTCCTTTCCTTCTAGAGTAGTGGTTGTGTGGGGTGTTGAGGACATCAGACAAGTAGTCAGATCTCCTAGGTTTCTACCCTGGTCCTCCCTGACTAGATGAGTGAATAATGTCAACTTTGTGGACCTCTCCTTTAAAAACAATATTCAGTGTTCCACAAGACTGTGTTCTCTAATATACTCTATGACTTTCTGTAAGCCAAAGAGTGCTGAACCGACACTTGGAACTTGCATTTTTGCTATTCCCCAATGTTTCCTGCATACTTCAGTTTTCTTCCCAGGTTTCTGGAAATGCAGGCAGGAGCCACAGCATACCTGGATGGTTTTGGTGAGTTTCAGAGCAGGTGTCACCGTCCCAATGGGTGGGCTTGTGAAGGTAACAGGGGATCTCCTCTTCAAGCTGATCTTCTCCCGGGCATCAGTCACCTGCCGGGGCTTCTGAGGCACAGCATTCTGCTGCTTTCGGGAGTTCAGCATCTCTCTAGCATCCTGTACTTTTCCTCTGATCCGAAACCGAGCATCCTTCTGTAAAAGCTTCTCCCTGGCATCTTTGACTCCGAGCTTGAGCCGAGCATCTGAGATGCCAATCTTCTGCCGGGCATCAAATCTCTGCTGGAAGGTGGCTGTGCGAGCTGGCTGGCTAAGAAGACTATGCTGGATCCCAACTCGAGATCGGATGCCTCCAATTCCTGGTCTGGCACTGAGCCTGCAAGTACAAACTGCAACAGTCAATGGACTGAAGATCAACAGCAGCCCATGGAGGAGACCTAAGAACACTGAGCATAGAGGTCGCCCCACAATTTTCAGAACCCTGCTTACACCCAAATATACAAAAGCATACAAACTTCTCTCTTGCCTCCGGCTTTTAACTTGGTGCCATAAACAAAATTATAGAGTCCCCCACAAGTTAAGACTGTTTTCATCCCTGATCATGCTTTTAATTCTCTACATACCACAAGGTATTTGTTATGCCTGCTTTCTATATGGAAGGCAGACCTGGTGAAGCTGCCTCTTAAAACAAATGGTGCCTCTCTCTATGCAGGCAGACACTTCTTACTAGGACTAAGGGAGCCAACATGCAGGTCTCAGCACTCCAAGAACAAAGATATAAAGATTTAATAGCCAGGAATGGCAATGCTCATTAATTGCAGCATCCAGGAAGCGGAGGCAAAAAGGGTGCTGCTGAGTTCAAGCTATACTGGTCTGAGCTATACTGCAAGACAGTGGCTTAAGAGCGTGTGTTTCTCTAGCAGAGGACTTGGGTTGGTCCCAGCTCTGGCATGGTGGCTTACACCATCTACAACTCTAATTCTAGGTGATCCAATACCTTCTTCTAACTTCTGAAGGGTATCAAGTTCATACATGGTACACACATGTATTACATACGTGCATACATGCACGCGAAATGCTCATACACATAAGGTAAGTAATTTTTAAAGTAGCTCTACGGTAACAAAAAGCATACAATTTCATAACTTCTGAAGTTAAAATGAAGGCTAGAGCGATGGTACAGTGGTTAAGAGCACTTGCTATTCTTCCAGACTCAAGTTTGGTTCCCAGCACACGTGACAGGAACAACCACCTGTAACTCCAGCTACAGAAGATCTGATACCCTTTTCTAGCCTCTCAGGCACTGTACACAAATGCATGCATACACATAAAAAAGAAAATTAATTTTTTTTATTTTTTATTTTTGGTTTTTCGGAGACAGGGTTTCTCTGAATTGTTTTGGAGCCTGTCCTGGAACTCGCTCTGTAGACCAGGCTGGCCTTGAACTCACAGAGATCTGCCTGCCCCTGCCTCCCGAGTGCTGGGATTAAAGGCGTGCGCCACCAATGCCTAGCTCTAAGTTTTGTTTTTAATTGGAAATGAGGGTGCTGGAGAGCAGGCTCAGGGCTAAGAGCACTGTCTGCTCTTTCAGAGCACTTGTGGATTCAATTCCCAGCAGCCACATGACAGCTCACAACTGCCTGTGACTCTAGTTTCAGGGAATCTGACACTCTTACTCAGTATGCAGTGAAACACCAGTGTACATTAAATCTTTTTTAAAAATCAGAAATGAATTAAACTCCATTAAGCAGGCCCCATCTCTGTGGTTTCAGAGTCAACACCTGGCCTTGCTAGGTGAAGTATGGGAGTCTGCAGGTTTCTCCTGCCGGAACCCACCCATCTACTCTACCCACAGGCCTTTCTCCACACCAGGCAATAACAGAAGCAACCACTCTTAAGACGGATGTCCTGCCTCGAGACGTCTATACAACACCACCTTTCTTGGAAACCCTATTAGATTCTCCAAGACAACTTTCCTTTTAAAGTCTGTTACATCTGCTGGTTTCCTTGTTTTCTCCTCAACCCCTGAGCTGGAAGGAAAGGCAGAAACAGGTTAATTTCTTTTCCCAGGTCTGTGTGCTCTCTCGGACACTTTTATGTACTCTTCAAATACAGAGCTGTCAGATTCCACCCTGAGTTAGGGATACTAAACTCCAGGCACTCTCTGAGCTAAACCTGGAAAAGAGCTATGTTGAGAATGTTCACATTAGAAGGTCAAACTATGCTGCATGATAAGTCCCCCTATTGTTTGCAGCTCACTGACTGGGCCTCCCAGGAGGTACCTCCCACTAGACAAGTCACCAGTCACCAGGATCCTCCTCCTACTCCTCCCCTACTCTCCCACCTCAAGTGGCCAGAGCAGAACTGCCCACCTGTGCAGCACACACTGATGCTGCACATCTGTAATCCCAATACTCAACAAGAGACTGAGGCAGGAGGATTATGAGTTTAATAATAGCCTGAGCTATAGGAAATCAGGTCACAAACCCCACAAAACAAGCACACCTCTGATGCCAGGACTTGGGAGGCAGAGGCAGGTCGAAATCAGCCTGGTCTACAAAATGAGTTCCAGAATAGTCCCAGCTACACGAATAAACTGTCTTGAAAAGAGTCTCTGACTCTTTTGCCTGCTTTTGGCAACTGAATTCTATTGGGTTGCCTCATCCAGCCCTGGTATGAGGAGATGTACCTAGTCTTATGGAAGAATGGATCTGGGGGAGAGGGGAAGTTGGAGGAGGGACTAGGAGGAGAGGGAGAAAAAGAAAAAAAGAAAAACTGAATATCAAACAAATTACACATGCCCTCCCCCCCAAAAAACCCCACCAACTAAGAAGAGTTACACTTCATTCATTCATACAAGGACTTTGTGGAAGAGTCATTTACAGAATCAGAGTGAGTTTAAGGTGGTACTTGCTTGGTGTGGTTTTCTTATGCAAAGACTTTGGCGATCAGATGACAGTATGGTTCAGTGGTAGGGTAATTGTCTAGCATGCACTAGACCCTGGCTGAACCCCCAGCACTGCAAGGGAAAAAAGACTCAAGGAAACGGAGGCAGTAGAGAAACCAGTGAAGGAATAGGGTATGGAGGGTGGCCGGCACCCACAATAGGGAGAAGGAGACAAGCTGTGAGGCAGACAACACACACCTCACCTCCACTGGGCTACCCTTGACTTGTTCATAGGCTGGAAGCATGGGCAAAGTGGATTACTTAGAAAACTTGATGCCCATACAGAAAGGAGCCCTTACCAGGGTGCTCCTACAGGCTTTCTTATACCTCTCACATTTGTTAGTGATATCCATTAAATAAAAATAAGAACAACTGACTACAGGTTCAGACAGAGTTGCTACTGAAGTCCTACTCATAAACCGAAGGGAAGATTTTAATCAACAATTACCATCTAGCTCTGAACGAAAGCAAGGCAAGCAGAAAGCACCCCAGATTAAAACACCAGATTAAAGCTCCGCCAAAGCCACAGGCAATCAGGTTACCAAAGGCAACTGGAGCATGTAAGCTTCCAGGTGCTTCAAATCCAAGAGTGGCCAGTCTTCAAAGTCATCACAAACAAGTGGACACCCGGAAGCAGGTCAAAAGCAGCAGGTCAAAGAGCACTGTGGACAAGCAGCATGTAGAAATGCTGGTATAGCCAGCCCACAGCTTGCAAGTTCCCTGCTCCTGCAGTTAAGAAGCATCACCGCCTGTGCCCCACCCCCCAAGCCTCTCTGCACCCAGGTTCCCATATGGGAGCACCTCTTGGTCTTTCAAAGCACCCACAGTGCTACCACAATGACCTGTTGATAAGCCTGTATCTCCCACAGGCTGGGCTTTCTCAGGAACATACCCTGTACCTGCTTATCTGTACCAACCCTGCATCATAGGAAGGAAAGGCTGCCATCCACACATCCAAATTCTGCAAGACTATCTGTCCAGGCCTGACTCAGAGGCGCCTTAACCGGGTCCCAGAAGCTCCAGGAGCTTCTGCTCCTCTGGAATGCAATGTCTGAGACTCCAGCAACCTCCCACATTCCTCTCTGAGTGACTACGACTCCCCCATGTCTTACGATGCATCCTCCTAACACTTACATTTTCATCTCCAAAAACCTGGGAGACGACTCGGGCAGCGGGATAAGACACTCAGCCAGTTCTGCTTGCCATTCCTTTCTTCCTTTCTCTCTTTCTCTCTCTCTTTCTTTGCTTTCTTTGTTTTTTTGGTTTTTTTTTTTTTTGAGACTTACAACCTGACCCAGGCAGATAGACTCTACACAGGCTGTTTCTATAGCGTCTCCAAGCCTGCTTTCCCTGAGATGGGATGGTCTTTGTCTCTAGGATTTCTTTTCCTTACGCCTTTGGTCTGCTTTTGTTTCTCCCCAACCAAGCCTGGATGTTCTTGTTTTTATTTCTACTTTTCAGTTAGGGTTAGGCTTTTCAGTTGTCTGCCCCCATCTATAGACACAAACTGGTTGTGGTGATGCAGATCACTGGGATCCATTTTACAGAGATTCAGATGTCTTTGGGTATTGATATGTTGGGCCCCAAACCCCACGGGTCTCTGTGAGTCACTTGTCAGTCAACAACCACGGGTGCATCCTGTTTTCTAGTCCTGGCTTACAGCCCCGGCCTTGCCCCATTGGCATCAACCTCTAATTATGAAAACACAAACTCTTACACCTGGGTTTCTCCACTGTGCTGTAAGTCTGTATATAAGGGTACTACTGATTATTTTATAGTATAGAAGTGTCTATAATAAAACCAGCTAACATGATCCCCACACATGGAAAGAATAAGAAGAACCTTTGTCCAAAATCTCTCAATAATAATTCCAACATCACAGTTTTAACAGGGCTTCCTCAGCTAAATTGTGTTAGATGATGTAAACATGAATTTAATCCCAGCTCTTGGGAGGCAGAGACAGTTGGATCCCTGAGTTTGAGGCCAAATTGACCTACAGAGCAAGTTCCAGGACAGCCAAAGCTACACAGAGAAACCCTGACTCAAAAGACAAAGACAAAAACATTCCAGGTCAATACAAAGAAACCCTGCTTTAAAAAAAAAATCAAAAAATGTTTACATGCTACCTAAGTTATAAAGGCTGCTTATGTTTTTTTGTAAGTTTTACCTGGAAACTTACAAGGCCCAATGGTTTAACAAACAGGCATGCAGCCAGGGGTTGGTGGCGCACGCCTTTAATCCCAGCACTCAGGAGGCAGAGGCAGGCGGATCTCGTTCGAGGCCAGCCTGGTCTACAGAGCGAGTTCCAGCAGAGCCTCCAAAACAATATAGAGAAACCCTGTCTGGAAAAACCAAAAAAAAAAAAAAAAAAAAAAGGGGGGGCATGAGTAATATGAATTCACTGCTTTACTCTGTGTGACCTGAGTTCA